CGACCTGCCAACTGCTCTCTTCGCCCCCTTGAAACCCGCATGCGACAGGTCTCGTCCCCCCCCCCCCCCCCCCCCCCCCCCCCCCCCCCCCCCCCCCCCTCTCTCTCTGTCATTCAACTTGCAGCCCTAGCCGCCCAAGATTGGGCAGTGAGTGTCGTCTGTGACTCTGTCAGACAGAGTTTTCATTCCAGATTGAAGCGAGCAACCAGTGGCGGCACACTACGTCAGGCCTTATTCTCGTCTTTCTCTTCTTCTTCTTCTTCTTCTCTCTCTCTCTCCAGTCTTCTCTCTCCCTTTTCTCGGGCTTCCCGTTAAAGTCCAAAACAGGAATCAACTCCACGCTACCCGATGCGGGAGAACCCTTTCGATGCTGCTGCTCGATGTGGCGAGCCCGAATGCCCCATCTATGGACCGAGACGGGCCATGTTTCAGGGGGTGTGTTTCCCTTTGGGCCCTCGGTAGGAGACCGGAGCGAGGCAGAAAGGTGAGGCGCACGAGGTCGGCGCATGGGAAGACCTGCCTTTCCTTTGCTGTCTCGTGCGCGTGATTTTCTGCCACCTGCCTCGTGTATGTATGACGGCTCTTCATCATGGCAGTGGCCATGTCCTCATCTGCTACAACGTGACATGATACGCACCAGCTGCTAGTCAGCAAGACTCCTTTTCCTACGAGAGAAGAAGAGGACAGAGGCTCTGAGCAATACTGGTAGCACGGCAGCACGTTGGACAGTGCGGGGTTCTCCAAGGATAGCATGATGATGATGAGACATGGCCATGTCTAGACTCTACGAGTCCGAGCCATGATCTATTCCCCTCTGCGGGACGCACGTGCAAGTACGCGTCTGTGGATCATGCTCTTCAATGATTCCTGCGAGCTGGTGAAGCCAAGAGTCGCGATAGGCCTGGACGCGATGATGATTCGTAGCAGCTGGCAGATAAAGCCCTATCCGGTGCCGCTCTCTGAGAAGAGGTGCTCTCACCACATGTGAGGCATGTCGGTGTTTTGACGAGGCGATAGAGAGGTGTTGACGGAATTCTCGTCTTGCCTGGTTCCGCACCGACCGTAACCGTACGCGCCTGCATACGTGAACGAGATACACGGGCGCGCGCATTGCACACATAATAATACCTGGTAGCAGACTCCAGCCAGCATGATCAGCACATCGCACAAGGTACGTGATTTGTATCCATACTCGTACGAGTGTGCACACAAGCATGACGAGGGGGGGGATTGCATGTGATGAGAGAGGTTACGAGTATATTATATTATATCCTGTCCGTGGCTCGCCCCAATCGCCCCCCTCCCCCGTCGTCCTCTCTAGCTGGACTGGAGACCGTCGTCCAGAATCCGAATAGGCGGTGGAAAATGTCTCGGTTGATAAGTAGGTATCATTACGAGAGTCAATAACCGCTCTAGATGACGGACTATCACTCGTAATAAACACAGAGCAATCTGTACGGAAGAAGAAGAGGAAGAGAAGCCCCCCGGAGATGGGGCTGATGAATGAGGGGGGAAATGATTTACTCTCGGATGCGAGTACGACGGCGTAATGCATGATTGCCTCTCCCCGCCTCTTTCCATCCCAAGTCTCATCCTTGAGATCCCTCTCCCTCTCCCTCCCGCTTCTTCCTCTCTCGAATCTCGCTTGGAATCTCTTGTCTTGGCGGGTGCGAGCTGACGAGCCTGTAACTGCTTTAGCTCCATTCCACGTACGAGCACCTGTACCTGTAGGGAGACGTGGCGGATGCAGGAGCACACGGGTGCTGCCCTGTACCTCGGCTGCTTGGATGCGAGGAAGTCGTCTTGTGGTGTCGGTAGTCTCACGGAGTAGCGTAGGTGCAATGCCTGTGGACTGATGCTGAGGATGTGCTGAATCTCCATTGGCAATGGTGATGCATACGGGGAGCAGGTAATATTATCACCGCTACTAGTAGTACCAAGGTAATCTGTGCGGATTAGTAAGTAGCCCGTCAATATCCACCACGGTGATGGCATCAAGCACTGATGATACTCGACAGGTAATAGCACTGCTGTAGGTCTACCTACGGGTTGCCCGTGCAGACCCAGCCGTCTTCCCCGCACGCATCTCCGCGTGCCTGTCATCACGGTGCTCGTACAGGATCACTCTCTGGGCTCTTGGTTGGAGCGACATTGATATCATCACTACCAAGCTCTAGCTGGCATCGTTACCCATACATGATACATACGCATTACGATACTCCGTACAAGTGCATGCATCCACGTTACTTGCCGACTCTGTGAAGATGCATAGGGAGGATCGCTTACGAGTAACGCCACAGGTATCACTACAAGTATCGCGACGAGTGATAAATACCACTACGAGTAACCTGTAATATCACTGCTGTTATTAATACGACCTACTACTCGTGATGCTTACGTAACACATCCGCGGCAGAGATCCCGGCAAAAGCACGTCCGTAATCGAGTTGACGGAATTCATCATGCATCAGTTGACCACAGACAAAGCCAGCACTCGACTCTGGTTGACGGTTGTCCATAAGAGTGATGATTGATGGCCATGGGAATCACGGCTATTCTGCTGACCACGACCAGGTCCTCCTCATTTCAATCCCCGGTTTGGAGCAATACCCCTCGGGATTGGCCCCCCTCCCCTATAAACGGGCGGGCGGGTTGGTGCGGTGGTACCGTAATAACACCATCGCCATCACCCTGTACGGGCGGGCTGGTAGCCAAATACGCGGTGTATTACGGGTAATACTGACATGTCCCGGGCCGTCACTCGCAGACCATGGACCGGAACCCGACGGCTCACCGCGGGAGAGAAGAGAGGCCCTTTTCCTGACCGCCTTGACATGGACGGAGGATCAAATCGACTTTTTTTTTTTTCCTTTCTTTTCTTTCATTTTCCTTCTTTTTATCTACGTGTTTATTTTATTTCTCCTCAATTTGAGGAGAAGGGGATGATACGAAGAGGAGGCAGAAACGGGTTTTTTTCTTTTTCTTTTCTTTTTCTTCTTCCTTTCTTCTTCTTCTTCTCTCTTTCCTTTCTCTCTCAGATTCGTCACCCACACACACTTCTCCTCCCTCCAATAAAAGTGCTGCCAACAGAAAGGCACTAGAGTATTTTCGCCCGCTCCCCCGCCAGATGCCTTTCTGCCCTCCATGTCGGGGCGAAGGAGCGTACACGGCTCCAGGAAGAACGCCCCTCCTACATCATCGCCACGCTTATCGTCTACCATGAGTTCCTACATTGAGCAGACGACTTCGGCATTGAGCGCGGTGGGAAGTTACATGCGTCTACCGGCTCTAGCGTCTACTGTACGGTTTCTCTCTTTTTTTTTTTGTCTTTTCTTCTTCTCCTGCCCTAATAGCACTCGCCCTCTTTCTTCCTTTTCTTTCTTTATTTTTATTTTTATTTTTATTTTTTAATTCCTCTCATCATGCAGCCCTCCCCCCCCCTCATTCTCGATCCCAACTGACCATGTCAATCGTCACAAATAGGGTGTTGCCACCGTCCTTACTGGTCTACTCTACTTTAAGCAAAAGTATGTGTGGTCCTACTCCCATTGATTGAGAATGAATGGCACAAACATCACATCCGATTGTGTGTCTCATATGCCATACGCGTGGCGTTCAGTTGCTGACAGTCAACTCTCCTGCACAGGGCCCTGATCTACCCTTCTCACATGCCCCCTAATGCCCGCACAGACATACCCAGACCGTCTCAGTTCGGCATCCACGACTTCGAGGAGCTCTCCATCCCCACCGAGGACGATGAGAAGCTGTCGGCCTACTACATCCGGGGGCCGCGCGGTCACGCCAACTCGTCGCTGACGGTCCTCATGTTCCACGGCAACGCCGGCAACATCGGCCACCGCCTGCCCATAGCCCGCATGCTCGTCAACACGGTCGGGTGCAACGTCTTCATGCTCGAGTACCGCGGGTACGGCTCGTCCACGGGCGAGCCCGACGAGGCCGGCCTGTCCGTCGACGCCCAGACCGCCCTGGATTACCTGCAGACCCGCGCCGAGACGCGCAGCCACCGCATCGTCGTCTACGGCCAGAGCCTGGGCGGCGCCGTCAGCATCAGGCTCGTCGCCAGGAACCAGGACCCCGAGACCAGCAACATAGTCGGCCTCGTCCTCGAGAACACCTTCCTCTCCATGCGCAAGCTCATCCCCTCCGTCATCCCCCCCGCAAAATACGTCACCCTCCTATGCCATCAGGTCTGGCCTAGTGAGTCGGTACTGCCCACCATCAAGAACGTTCCCGTGCTCTTCATCAGTGGGTTGCAGGACGAGATCGTACCGTGAGTCTTCTCTCTCTCTCCCTCTCTCTTCAGGTTTAACCCCCCTTCCCCCCCCCTCCTCCCCCCCAATATGTACGGAGCGGATACGTGTTCTCGTGATGATCAAATTTGCATCACCCACAAAATCTGAAACAACCTTCTCTCTAGTCGACGTCCTTCGAGAGGGGGGTATCGAACTAGAGCAGATTTCATGATTATAAAGCAAAGAATATTCTGATGAACACCCTCCTTTGCACAATCGGCCTTGCGGGCCGCTCTTTCCTAGCTTCACCTCTCTTCGATATACATCATGCGGAAAGCTGACGATTGTGCATAACCCTTCGCCACAGACCGAGTCACATGCGCCAACTATACGACCTGTGCGTCTCCCCCGTCAAGGTGTGGCGCCCTCTCCCAGGTGGAGACCACAACTCGAGCGTCCTGGAGGAGGGTTACTTTGAAGCCATCGCCGAATTCGTCGCAGACGTCACGAGCGACGCCGCCACCGAAAAGGTTGCCCCGTAAGGGCTCTAGTCCATTCCGTATGAGACGAACCCCGTGACGGCCCAAGAAAACTTTTCGGCGACGCAGATCGGATATGCACAACCCACCTGCCAGCAAACTCGTATACCATCTATCCGAACCACCACCGCTATAGAGCCCAACTCGCCTCCATCGACGAGGGTTGGTCAAACCACGTGCCGTTCATACGAGAAGACCCAAGGCAGACAGACACCCTTCTGCTGATGGAACATGAGGGAGGAGAGATGCACACCCATCCCCCACTCATCCACCCATGAACTACCGTATTCTATCTTTTTTAATCCGTGCAGAAAAAAAAAGAGCCGAGAAAATTGTCCGCCCCTCCATAGAACTCGCATCGTTGCATCCCCCCCCCCTCTTCCTCCTCCTCCTCGAACCACGGGATCTAAGTTGACCCTGTGCCCCCCCCCCCCCCCCCCCCCCCCCCCCCCCCCCCCCCAAACCAATGTTTTACATAGTTTTCTATTTTTCGAAGCAGGCATTTTTTTTTAATCATCCTTGGGGCTTTGTTTATTCATTTTTGTTTCTCAGCTTGGGGAAGTGCGAGTAGGCAGACCTTGTTATCTTAGAATTGAGCACGCAAGCATCCCATGTAATGATATTTATTTATTTTATTTCATTTATATATAGATATATATATTCTTTTCTTGGTGTTATATATATATATTTATACGTATATGTCTGCGACAAGGGATTAGAACTAAATATCTTGTTTTTCATAAAGATTCATTCGTTCAAGAAAAAAAACAGACATGCGAGCCTTTTTTCTTTATTTGTATACAAGTATGAGTACATGAGCACGGGTAATCACATTAGAGCAGAGACGAGTATGAGTACATATAGAACTCCAAGAGCTGAGCTATTTGGAAGAAAAAGAGCGGGGAATGATCCTTTTGTGATCTGTCTTAATCCTGCCATCGATGGAAAGGAAAATTATCGGCAGGATGTCGTGCTTAGGGTAGTCGTACGTTAGTATTATCGGGGGATGAAGAGACTGGGTGCTGTTTTTTTTGTTTGTCTTTTTGTCTGTTTTTGTTCTTGTCTCTTATTAAGATTGCAATGTGATGATATTACTCAAGAGTGTTTATGGGGTAGAACGAGGATGGAAGAAAAAAAAGGACTGGGCGCAAATGCTTAACGAGTTGATAGCGAGGTCATGATATATCATGATACTCGGTCGTCTCCACCAGCAGGTATGTTCGTCGCGATAGCAACAATGTGTGTGTGTGTGTGTGTGTATACGGAGTATATATATGTATATATACACATTATATGTCTATATGTCTATATATCAAGACGTCTATGCGTCAGAGTCCAATGATGGTCAGCATGGCAGAAGACAGAATAAGACAAAAGATGACAGCCATCCGAGAAAGGCCGGGCATGATATTGCACTTGGCCCAACACCAGCTTCAACACTCTACATCCCCATCCAACAACCGCCACGTCTTGTCCGTACCCCCCCTCAGGGCTGTCTTCTTCCTCAGACCGAGCATCTTCCTCCCCGGAGTCCTGCTGTCATCCCCAAGACTGCCGGCAGCGGTGCCGTCCGGCCTAGATGACGATGATGATGGCGATGCCCAGGCCGTGGCCCGACCGGCCACGGCATTCCACCCCGCAGGGTCAGGTCGGGTGGTGGTCAGGCGCTCGCGACGTAGGATCTCGTCGTGCTGGCTGGCTACGGCGACGAGGACGACGGGTCCCGTCGAGATCTTGCCGGCCTTGACCGCGTCGGCGACCTTGTTCCTCAGGGAGTTGAGGGTGGCGTCGAGGCCGCTGGCCGCGGAGTAGGGCGCCACGACGCGCAGGAGGACCTCCTCGGTCGTGGGGAGGAACTCGATGGCCTGGAGGCTGAGGGACTGCGATGCGAAGACGGGCTCCAGGACTGCCTGTATATCCGCCACCGTCAGCCCGAAGCCCGTGGACGTGAGGAGGAGAGCGTTGAAGGGCGGAGCTGCGTCGCCATCACCAGGGTCCTTGGCCACGGCGGCGGCGGCGGCGGCGGCGGCGGCCGCCTTCTGTTCGGCCGCCTGCCTGTCGCGGATCCGGATGCACTGCCCCAGCGTCTTGGAGGGCACCGCCGTGAAGCCCGTGCCAGTCTTGCTGATGACCACGTGCCGGTGCGCCTCCCAGTCCTCGCTGTGGCTCTCGAGACGGTAGTCCTCGGCCAGCGAGTGCAGGAACTGTCGCTTCCTGGTCGGCATGGGCGCGAACCGCATCCGCACCTCGCTCTTGGTCGCGCCGAACACCCGGAACTCACGTTCCTTGTCCTCGGCCCAGGAGCCCAGCTCCCGGAACATCTTGAGCGTCGTGTCTGAGTACGGGACGTGGTCCGTCAGCTCAGAGTTGGGGTCGATGTTGAGCGCCTCGGCAAGCCGGCGGTTGCGCTCCAGACGGAGGCACTCATCGTCGCAGTCGAGACGGGGGTGCGCTGCGGGCGGCATCGTACTGTCGACGACGACGACGACGTCGTCGTCGCCGTCGTTGTAGCTGCTCGCCTGGCACCTGATTTCCTTTTTGCGCTGGCCGCACGGACAGGTCAGCGTCACCTTGGCCTGACATGGCGATGACTCGTTGCACGCTGTATGTTTTCGTCAGCATCACCCGTCTGGACGGTATCGGTTTGTGGTGAACGGAGGCGGAGAATTCTTGGGTCGCACTTACGAGTCTTTCCGTGGCAGTGGTTCTGGCACGGGTGGCCGCAGAGAAGCTTGGCCTTGCCGCATACTTGGCCGCAAGTCTTGCTGGGGTTGGTCGCGCCGCTGCACTCGCCTGGCCTGTGGCACAGCTTTCTGCAGGTATGTCTGTAACAGGTGTCAGCAACGATCAAAAGATGCATGTGTTCGTTCGCGGTAGCAAAGCTTCGGCAATACAGACCCGCACTCCAATTTGCTGCCGCAGGGCTTGCCGCAGCGCGCCTCCTGAAGGTGGCAGGGGTGGAAGGACACTGCATCCTTGCCACAGGCGCAGATCCTGTCGACCAGAAAGGGGCACTTGGGACACTCGACTTCGTCCGGGTGGCAGTGGTGATCGACGGCCGGGTGGCCGCATCGGGGCGTCCGAGGGCACTGGAAGCGACACTCAGGCGGCTGAGTCCCGCAAGGCTGCGGGGGCTGGAGGACCGTCCTGCCGCAGTTGCAGCTGATGTCCTCGAAGACGGCCTCGGGGCAGCTCTCACAGGCGCCGCGGTGGCACATCTGCTGGCAGCTGTGCTTGCCGCACTTAAGGAGCTTTCCGCAGGTGCGGATGCAGATGTGCTCGGGTTCGATCTGGGGCACCGGGCCCCTCTTGCGTCGCTGCGCCGCCTGCCTCTCCGAGGCCTTCTTCTCGCCAGGGCAGCAGTGCTCGCCGCATCGGTGGCGGCCACAGTTGAGATTGGCCTGGCACACGCGCATGCACAGCGGATTCTCGACATGGCCCTGGTGGCACACGGTATCCGCCGTGACGCGGCCGCACCGGCAGGGTACGGTGGTAGGCTCGGCACAATGCGGGCACTCACCCTCGTGGCACTTCGCCTTGCACAGGTGGCCGCAGTCGAGGACCTTGTCGCACGGCTTCTGGCAGTGGGGGACTGGGTCTTCGCACGATCGCCTAGGTTCATCCAAGAGCTCACTCAGGAGCGTCTTTCCGCACGGGCAGTGCGAGACAACGTCCACGGCTAGAGGGCAGTGGCCCGGGAGCTCACCTTGTGCATGGCACGTGCGTGTGCACTTGTGGATGCCGCAGTCCAGGCTTCTCGCGCATACCTGATCGCAGGTGAAGGTGCCCTCGAACCATCCCTCGTCGTTCGGATCGTACGACTGCTCGGCATCGGCCTGGAGGTAGCATGCAACCTTCTTCTTCACACGGCCGCAGTAGCACCGGGCATCGCTCACGATATCGCACTCGCCGCAGACGCCAGGGTGGCACGGCTTAGTGCACGTGTGGGACCCACAGGGAAGGATATCCTCACAGGGTTCCTGGCAGCTCCAGCCGCCCTGGTAGTCCGTCTCTCGGCAGGGTCTGCGGTTCTCGTGCTTACCGCAGAAGCACGCCTGGGGGGGGCCCATGGCATCGCAGGGCGGGCAAGGTCCGGCGTGGCATTGCAACGTACAGGGGTGAGGGCACGTCTTTCTAGTCTTGGAGCACGTCTGTCCGCACGAGTGAGGAGGCAGAGCCTTGCTTGAGGGCCTGGGGTCGTCTTCCTTGCCACACCAGCAGTGGTACGAGGGGACGTCCTGGACAACAGAGTTGCAGCCGGGACAGCGCCAGCATCCATCTGAACGCTGCTCGATCTGGGTCTCATACCAGGCCTTGACGCACTTGAGGTGCAGTGACGTATAGCACTTGGGGCACGAGTAGATCTTAGAGGATCGGACAACGTCCTCGGTGCAGATGACGCACTCGTAGCTGCCCGTGCTGATATCATCATGGATACGCGTGCCGAGATCGGTTGCCAGTGATCTGGACACCTTTTCCGCGGACCTTTGCGTCTTTGCGGACTTCTTGTTCCTACATGCACATAATTAGTTATCCTGATAAGAGGTGGGCTCCGTCCTCACATCCCGCTTACTCTCTCTGTGCTACTACTGCTTGGCCGGGCACGAACTCCAGGGCGTCGGCAGACAGAGAAACGGCTGCCGGCGTTGATGCAGTCCCAGGCTCTTCATCTTCAGCCTCCGCAGTGGTCGTGAGATGACCGCCAAACGCCCTGCGCGTACCTGGGCCTGCTGCGGTCACGGCTGTGTTGCGGGAGGAGCTACGGCCACGCCTCCTGTTTCCGCTTCCACCGACAGCTCCTCCTCTGCCGCGCCTCCCTCTGCTGGCTTGCTCTGGTGCCGGTGCTGTTGAGTTGCGTGCCGTAGTCTGGGGTCCTGTCTCAGCCGTGTCCTGCTGCGTCCTTTGGCTGTTGGCGCTGTTGTCAGCTCCTCCTCGACCTCGACCGTGTCGTCCTCCCCGTGGACCGCGAGATGCGCTGCCACGGTTTCTACGGGGCTGGGGCCGAGCCCGAGGCACTTGGCCTGATTCGCCGTCTGCCATGGCGTGGTTGTGGGTGCCAGAATTCGATGAGTGAGGATGGTTGAATAATGGTGGGCGATATATTTGATAATGAAAAAAATCTGTGGCGGGTTCTGCGTATCCGTCGTAGAGAACGGGGCAGTCGTAATTCCGACAAGTTGAAACGCAGCCGTTGGAAGAAGAGAGAGAGCTGGAGGCAAGCGAAGATTCAAAGAGAATAAAATAAACAAAGATGAAGAAGAAACAGCTGGAATTAGATATACCTTTGCTAGATCCAATCCAAGCCACCGTTCAGATGTCGGATGAGGACGAAATTTTGATAGTACAGAACTGGAATCCTAATGTGGCAATAGCACAATAGCAGAGTCTGCTGGTAACCAGTGGAAGAAAAAAAAAAAAAAAAAAAAAGAGAAGGGGGGGGGGGGGGGGGGGGAGAAAAAAAAACACCAGCCATAGGCCAGTCGGCGATGCCTCAGCATGAGTCACTTTAAAATTTCCATCATGCCATCATTAGCTGCAGAAGCTATTCCAACTGACTGCCTGGGCAACGGAGAGTCATAGAGAAATGGCTGTACCTGGAAGCTCATCGTCTCAACTCCTATCGCTGGCTTTTGATATTTTGAGATTGTGACCCGATAGGAGATCATCTCGATTATGTTATATGATATACCCTGTGCCTGGACCTCGGAAGATCTGGCATCATTCCCAGATCACCACCCGCTTTCACTAGACCGCTTTCGCTTTTTTCATATAGCGACCCTTAAGGCGACAGATATCTGACACTCGATGCGAATGCCGATGGGGTAACAGACCTAGCTGGTGTCTCTATCACCAATACCGGTCGCGCCAAACGTTTCAGTCTGCATCATAACGTTGAGCCGTTCTAGTCGTTGATGTGGATCTATAGGGATTCGATGTGAGCAGCACTTTCCGCTCGTAAAGGCTATCGGTGTACCTTGAACGCTGTTCTTGTCATCTCCTGTTCTGTCTCGAAGGATGATGTGAGGTTCAAGCAACAAGACTCGGGGAAAGGCCAAGATGAAACGCACAATATTAACAATCAAAGCTAACATAACGGATGTGTGCATTGCATTACCTACTCCCTGGCCAACACTGGATCTTCACCATTTTGTCTACCCTGCGTCACTTTCGCAATCTACCCACGGCCACGACGAGGGAAAGATGACGATGACCGGCCACATATACGACTGATTGCATACTCGTACATGACACAAGAGCCTTATAAAGTAACATGGACTATAGATAGACATCGCAGAGAGCGCCAAACTTGCGCTGTTCCGTAGGTGACGGGTAAGCAGATAGCCGTCTGCACGCAAGCAGACCGGTGCGAATCAAACGCTCTCCCTAGGTGACACCGTACAAGAAGGCGTAGGAGACGACTACGAGCAATGCTGATATGGTGAGGTTGCCAAGGAAACACTGACAGATACGAGATGCAGCAAACCATGCCATGCAGCGCACGTAAGACGGTCGTTCTCTATTCCGTTCTATCGTTGAAAACTCTGCCACGTATTAGCACCTGTGCAGTTCGTTCAAGGTGGAAGGTGTGATGGACCGTCCGAACTTGGGGGGAGGGGGACGATATCGGTCCAGGCCATCACAAATAAAAATTGCTGTTGGGAAGGAAGAGAGGAAAAATAAGAGACGGCGGACGTGTCAGAGACGAGGTGGCGCCCCCTCCTGCGATGAAGATTCATAAGCCAAAACAAATATTGATGCGGCATGTTTCCTCATGCACGGCAATTCATTTCCATCCTACAGAGTATCAATACTTGTACGGTGAGATGCAAACACGCCGCGGACGCGTGAAGTGTGGCGAGTCGTACGAGGCAAGGAATGTCACGAGGGTGGGAAGGCACGACATGATAATGGGTTATCAGACGTACCTACTCATCGTCATAGTAGAGTATCGAGGAAGGTAGTTATATATATTACTTAGGTCCGTTAAGATGATACGTGATGATACCCATCAAAGGTCCTCGGCCACGATATGTGTACACATAATATGATAATATAATCATATTATCAATATAACACCTCTTGAAATGGCGACTGGGGAAAGGGGAAGGAGCCCCGGTTGTCCCTGCCGCCACAAAAGAAAGAGGAAAAAAAGGAAGAAAAAAAAAGCCCGGATAAGATCTGGCAAGAGAAGAGAAGAGGGAAGAAAAGGGGAGAACGAGGGGGCAGGAAAAAGAAAAGAAAGCCTCCCATGTCAGGCAGGAGTTCAGGACAACATCAAAGTCGTGGGCAACTGCGACCAAGGGCTATTTTACACTGTCCTCGCAGCAACCTACGAGGATTAGTTAGTACACATCCATCTGGTCCCCAATATCGAAATGTCGTATCGGCCCTAGGAACAACGGCTCCATTACCAAGCGATCAGGTCTTCCATGCAATGTCCAATGGACGACCGGGAGTACGACGTTACCAAGAGGTTATCAGGCCGTATACAGGTAGTAATACAGTTAGGCCCTACGCCTCCTCGACGACTCTACCTCGGTGCCTGTCATCACCAACTCTCATCTGACCCGAATGGCAGCTAGTGTCTGGATGCGGATTGCTTCCCGATGTGGACACCAGGCAAAGTCATACCCCAGGGCAGGCAGCATAGTATGGACTTGACGGATGGCTTCCGTCAAGTGATGAGCTGCAAACTGTACCCGTACAGCATCAGGGCTCTGTCAACATTACCGCGCAGTATCCCGGGACGTACGGCAAGGATGGACGCCAAGCTGATGCAGCCCAGATACGCGCTCATGGCACCGGCCAATCCCGTCCGTTTTGATATAGGCTTTCTTGTTTCCTCGTATTCTTTCCATTCTTATCGTACTTTTACTGTTATTTATTTCCATCTACGTTAGCGACCCCGCCTCGGATACAGCAACGACAGGGTATTCCTGCGGCCCAAGAACAAGGCACGATACCACCCTTCCTTTTGCGGTTATTGGAAGGCATGAGCTGTTGATACTGGCTAGGCGATGGATGGCCTTGCAATATTACGCTTCTGACCGAATCCGCCAGTCTGCGGCTTGTCTGTACGTGCACATCCGTCTGGCCTGAACCTCTCTTGTTAAACGAGCTGCGGATGCTCGATAGCCCTTGCTTGGCAGTCGTGCTGACATGGAACACTCCTACGAAAAGGGAAGGAATCAATATTATCATCTTCATGCTGCACCTTGCTAGCTGGACGGTAGATTTCACGGCCGGGAATCACCGAAAACTCTGACAATGCCAATATTTATCTCCAGAACCCAAAGGTCCAGGATTCCAGGATTCCAACGAGTATAGAAAACCGGCATCCAATCTTCTTTTATGAAACACCAAGTCATTGTCTATGTAGACTCACACATCATTTCATCCGCTCCGGAAATTGAGCGGTTCGATCCCTTCCTCGATCCGACCTACACACCATCTCGTCCATCCGTGTTGGTTGCCCGATCGCCCCCCCCCCCACCATATCTCGTGGACAAGCTTATCCATATTCCTTTGAGGAGGAGGGTTGGGGTTGCCAGGCAGCGACCTCCTACCAAAGGCGGGACCTTGCCGCACCTGTGGAGCTCGTCAATGACCAGGAGCACCAAAGATGCCATGTGTAGATGATACACCCTTGTTCGGAGCTCCTCATGTCAAGTGTGTGGGTGTTGTGCTGATATGGAGGGCCAATGCGACCAATGCATATTACTGAGGTTGGACACACCGTCGGAAAGGTGCAGACGGCTGATGCCAACATGGCCAATGAGATGCTCGCCGACCTTGACTTTAGCAGCGAGATACTCGCACTTTGGAACCGAATGGATGCTGCTGCAAACATATTGGCGGCGGGGTTACGAGACTGACAAGTCGGGCCGCCTTGCCTCGGGGACGCAGATCAGCCATGTGGTGGCTCGAATCGTCTAATATCATACGAGGGAGTCTGGATAAGTATACCACCACGGTGAGTACCAAACCCAAGGCTGGACAGCGCATGAGTCCGATTGGCTGCTACTCGTAAGTAACCCCCGGATGCAAGGGCCTTCTCGCCCTTCCAGACAATGAAAACAAGCCGTCAAGAAAGTGGTTTTCTAGTCAGGGAACTATGGGGGCTTGCAACATCGCGTGCGTGCATGGTGTAGCCGCCGCCGACATGGCCATCAAGAAGCTGCACCGACAGTTGCATGGGTGCTAATTTTATCCTCGTCAGGTTCGTGTACGGCGGTGAATTCTGCAGGCTCAACACGCGGCTCACCCTCCCGAGTAGCCAGCCTGCTGAACTCTGTGGATGCCTCCACGTCGACAGGCTGCGGTGACACCATTAGCAACGAGACCGAGCCTGCTGGCGAGGAAGAATATCACATGTTCCGCAAGGGGAACAAGACAAGACTGTTCCGCGGGAGCAGCCGACACGATATCTACCATAGCGAACCGGAGTATTTCAGCCGTTCGGCGATATCGAAGGTGATGATAACCATTATATCTCGTGGGAACAACCTTCCTCCCAAAATCCCCTGCCGACCTTTGCGATTCTTGGCATCGGGCGCATCGGCGCCGCACACTATATCCTCGTGATGCTCGTATACGAAGCGAGACTGATGAATATGGAACCTATGGCGGGCCAACCAGCTTACAAGCAAGCCACTTGAACAAGAAGCTCTACCACCCTGGCCCAATCCCGATCTACCACAAGTTCCGCTCATGCAGGGACGACCACCACAATCACAACACGAGACTCTTCTACGCATTGATACTGCTGCATGAGCCCCTACAGCGTCCACATGGATACCGTGCAACTCTGGCTAGCTCGGCATTGAGCGCCACGAGCTTGGCGCCGACGCCTGGGAGGCTGCCTTCCACGGCGCCGCAGACCCGTCCGCAACTCCCTTAAGCTCGACGTCGGCCTCTAATGCGAGCCCAAGCGCAAGTCCAAGCGCAGGCCCAAGTGCAAGCCTGGCGAGCTCGACATCGGTTTCACCAACAGAACGACTCGACATCGATTCCAATGAGTCTGGTCACATCTTCCACGGGCTTGATCCCGACGGCCTCGTCTGCGCTGACTGCAGCAGCAGCAACTGCGACGGAGTGCCCGTATCAACCAGAGACGGTCGGTCAAGACTGGAACTGGTATGGGTGCTACACCGAGGCGACTGGGGCGCGGGCGCTGTCCTCAGGGACATTGGCCGACGACGACATGACGCTGGCCATGTGTGCCTTGTTCTGCTCCGGGTACACGTACTTTGGGGTGGAATACTCGAGGGAGTGCTATTGTGGTGACAAGCTCAATGCAGGTTCGGTGGTGGCTGGCGACGAAGAGTGCACGATGATATGCGGAGGATCCGAGTGTAACTACTGTGGCGCTGGCGACCGCCTGTCGATCTACACCACGGCTGGGGATGCATCCACCCCTCCCTCCGGGACCGAGGTGGAGCCAACCTCGACGACATCTGGTGGCCCAACTGCCCCTACAGGCATCCCGGATGGTTGGGACTACTATGGATGTTGGGTCGACGGCGCAGCCGGCCGCATTCTTAACTATCAGGCCCCCGACGATGACGAGCTCACCACTCAGTCCTGCATCAACACCTGCGCAGACCTCGGATACACCATAGCCGGTGCCGAATACCAAAGCCAGTGCTTCTGCGGAGACAACATAGTCAACGGAGGAGTCAAGGCCACCAGCGAGGACCAGTGCAGCACTCCCTGCGGCGGCGACTCGGACGAGACCTGCGGAGGTCCCGACAGGATGAGCATCTTTTCTGTTGGCGAGCCCGTCGTCCGGGCGGCCCCCGGTGCCACCGCCAACGTCGGCAACTGGACCTACCAGGGCTGCGCCCAGGACAACGTAGACGACAAGCGCACCTTTGAATGGCAGCTCATTTACCAAGACACCCTCACGCCCAAGATCTGCACTGACGCCTGTGCCGCGTTCGGCTACATGGCCGCCGGCATGGAGTACGGTTCCGAGTGCTACTGCGGCGACCCGGCCAACATGGCCACTGTCGGATCCAAGTTCGTCGACGACTCGCAGTGCAACGTCGCCTGTGCTGGCGACGGCGACGCCATCTGCGGCGGCGGCTCCCTTCTGACCACCTACTTCTGGGAGGGCGACCCGTTCTACTCCTGGACCTTTCCCGAGGAGGGCTCCGCGGCGGCTGGCCGGTACGAGCTGCTCATCGGCGGCGTCGTCATCCCCCTCATGACCTCCCAGGCCGTCACTGGCAAGGTGACCTTCCTGGAGAAATGGGGCACGGGACCCCCCAACTCGACGGGCGCCTACGAGCTGGACCTGTCCGTCATCGATGACTTCGACGCCGCCTGGCGCACCATGCACGTCAAGACGGACCTGTTCTGCGCCGGAGGCGTGACCCTTCCGGACAAGGCCGGACGGCAGCTGAACGTGGGCGGCTGGTCGGGCGACTCTACCTTTGGCGTGCGGCTGTACCTGCCCGACGGCTCCCCCGGAGTCAAGGGTACCAACGACTGGGAGGAGAATGCCGACGTGCTCAAGCTCCAGGACGGCCGCTGGTACCCCTCCACGCTCAACATGGCCAACGGCTCGATCCTGGTGGTTGGCGGCGAGGAAGGGTCCAACAGCGCACCCGTACCGACGCTGGAGATCCTGCCGGCCACGGGCACGGCTCCGCTGTACATGGACTGGCTGGAGCGCACCGACCCCAACAACCTGTACCCGTTCCTGGCCGTGCTCCCGTCGGGCGGCATCTTTGTGGCGTACTGGAACGAGGCGCGGATCCTGAACGAGGACACGTTCAGCACCATCAAGACGATGCCAGACATCCCGGGAGCCGTCAACGACGCCAAGGGCGGACGCACGTACCCCCTCGAGGGCACGGCCGTCCTGCTGCCCCAGCACGCCCCCTACACCGACCCGGTGGGCGTGCTCATCTGCGGCGGCTCGACCGAGGGTCCGGGCAACGCGCTGGACAACTGCGTGTCCATCCAGCCGGACACGGAGAACCCGGAGTGGGTGCTGGAGCGCATGCCGTCGAAGCGGGTGATGACGTGCATGGCGCCGCTGCCGGACGGGACGTACCTGATCCTCAACGGCGCCCAGCACGGCGTGGCCGGCTTCGGGCTGGGGACCAACCCCAACCTCAACGCGCTCCTGTACGACCCGACCAAGCCGGTGGGCAGCCGGATCACCGTCATGGCCAACACCACGGTGCCGCGCCTCTACCACTCCGAGGCCATCACGCTGCTCGACGGCCGCGTCCTCGTCTCCGGGTCTGACCCGCAGGACGGCGTCAACCCCCAAGAGTACCGCGTCGAGGCCTTCATCCCGCCCTACCTGCTCGGCGGCAAGACGCGCCCGACCTTCACCGTCCAGGATAAGGACTGGGCCTTTGAGCAGGTCGTCCCCTTTACCCTGGGCGCCGCGTCGCGCAACGGCGCCATCACAGCCTCCCTGCTGGGCTCCGTGTCCAGCACCCACGGCAATTCGATGGGCGCCCGGACCCTGTTCCCCGCCGTCTCCTGCGCGGGCACGTCTTGCACCGTCACCGCACCGCCCGGCCCGTACATCTGCACCCCCGGGTGGTACCAGTTCTTCGTGCTGGACGGGGGGATCCCTGCCGTGGGTGTGTTTGTGCGCATCGGTGGTGATCCTGGCAAGATCGGGAACTGGCCTGCTGGAGGGGACTTTACACTTCCAGGTGTCTAAGGGAGGGGGGGGTTGGTTTCGAGAGAGAAGAGATCTGTTGAGAAAATGGTGTAAACTAAAAATAAAATCTAAGAGAAGAAGAAGAAGAAGAAGGAGGAGGACCATATGCTGTTGGAGGCCCCTGAATATCAATTTTCGCATTTCACACCTTTTTCATCTTAATTGAGATGCGTGTTTTTTTTTAATCTCGCCGCGATGAGGCTGATGAGTTGAACACATCTTCTCTCTCTCCAAGCCGAAGACCGGTAGTACTGTATTCGATATTTGGTGATAGTTGGTATTATATATGCAATATTTAGAATGATTGAGTCTACACAGACACGGGCTATTAGATAGCCTATTTCAATTTTAAGAAAGCAGCTTTTGCAGTCAACATGACTTCCTTCTCCTTCGTCTCTGTCCCCGTCTCTTTTCGTAACATGTCATGATGAAACTTGTGCAGGGTCGCACGAAAAAGTAAACAAATGAAAGTAGTTGGCCGGACGCCGGTCAACGGAACGCCGGTCAGCACCCGCCGCCATCTTTGTCTAACAACGCACGTGACATGAAATCCTTGGCTGCTCTAGTCCTCTCGGGCCAAGCGAAAACGAACCGCCCCGAAACGAACCGTGCGGAAACCAAGCTTGCGATACACGGACGTTTTGCCTTCCCCCCCCTCCGATCACGACAAGCCTATTGTCTTCTTCTGTTCGTTCTGGAAACTCCGAAAACCCCTCTTCCCCCACAACAACAACAACAACACGCACACACACACATAGATATATATATATATATATATATATAACGTCAAGATGGCTGCGTTCATCAAGGCTGCCAACGCCAAGATTAGGTCCAACCCAATGCTGGACTATGTCTGCTCTACTCGTACGTGCTTTCCTCCCGCCGCCTCCCGTTCCATCTCCATTTGCGCTTTTTCCTTACGGGGAGCGACGGAACGCGCGCATGGAATTGATGGTGATGGTTGCGCGCGTCCGCGCCCGCGCGTAATACGATCAGCACCGACAAGAGAGAGAAGAGCAAACAAAATCCGGACGTCCCGCGTGCTCGCGGTGATGGAAGGTTGCCGTAACGGGATATGCAGGGAGGAAGAAGAGGATAACAAGGAAGAAGTGGAAGGATGAGAGGCTGACGTTTCGGTGCGAATGCAGACTTCTGGGGACCCGTCTCCAACTTTGGTATCCCCTTTGCTGCCGTCCTCGACACCCAGAAGAGCCCCGACCTGTAAGATTTTGCTTCCTAGCGAATACACCCCCCTCCCCCCCTCCCCACCAAACTCCTCGATATCGCGAAGACCGTCTGCTGTCTTCTCTCCTAGACAGGACATGCACTTTTAGGATCGGAGGAATACGTGTGTCAGAAGAAGAAGAATGAAAGAAGACGAAGAAGAGAAGACGAGAAGACGGAAAGATGGGGGGAGGAAGGGAAGAGACGAGAGAGAAGACGAGTATGTGCTGACGAAAAGTCCCTCACAGCATCTCTGGTCAGATGACGGGTGCCCTGGTCATCTACTCTGCCACCTTCATGCGCTACGCCCTGGCCGTCTCGCCACGCAACTGGCTCCTCTTTGGCTGCCACGTTGTCAACGAGGGAGCGCAGCTGACGCAGCTGTACCGCTACGCCTCGTACCATCACTGGGGCGGAAAGGAGAAGCTGGCTCTCGAGAAGGGTGCCGAGATCAAGGCTGCTGAGAAGAACTAAGTTCCTCTCCTGCCGGCTCTTACATGAAAGGATGAGAGGGGAGGGGGGGGGGGGGGGGGGGGGGGGAGAGAGAGAGAAGGATACTCTTTTCCCCCCCCTTCTCTTTTCTTTCCTTCTCTTCCTTCTTTTTCTTTTACCGAGACTCGGCCACCTTTTCCTTTTTTTATACATAATAATTCGACACAGCGAAGAAGGAAAGAAAGAATGAGTCCCATGCCGGAAAGAAAAAAAGGTTATGGTCATGTGTTGTTTCTTTCTTTCCATATCCCCGTAGTACCATGTATAACTATGTATATATACCCCGGGGTAGAGAGAAATGGAGAGAAAGAAAGAAGGGAGGGGGAAGAGAGCTCTGATAGATGGCCGCGAATGTACCAATTTCGACAACACTTCGTGCCCCCTTTACCCGGTCCCAACATCTGTTGCTGTTCCCCTTTTTTTGTGTTTATCTTTCGTTGGCGAAGGTGGCTATTTTCCTGAAAGAGATGAGAGATTCGGGGTAAGAGGAACTTCCAGGCATCAGTCCACAGATGGAGGAACTGGCGAACCATTCTCGGGTGAAGAGCGGACGAAGGAAGAGAAGGATTCCCACGCCAAGACGAGAGCGCCATGTACGAGTGCATATCAAGGCTGACGAGCAGGGAAGGAGAGACAGGACGGGAGGCTGCGACGGGAAAGTCGGACCGATCTACCGCATCGTACGCTCCTCACGGGAGAACGAATGGAGAATCATCGCATTCACATCGGTGCCTGTTTTTCTGTTCCTCCTCGTCCGCCAGGTTGTTTGGACCGTGGGATATCCGTGTGGTGTGCGTATCATGGGCCGATCCACCCTGCCACCGGGCATCGTACACCGTCGTGTTTGGGGAACTCGGAGGGGCGATGCGTCCAATGCAGCCTTCCCCTTCCGGTTCGGAGACGAGTCGGGAAGAGCGGGCCGCTTCGAACGGGACGGAATCTGGAATGGCGGAGTGCGGGCAGGTAGCCGACGCTACAACGGAGCGGTGCGTGGAAGAATCCAATCGATGTACGTCTGAGTACGCTACAGATGAGATCGTATACATGCTACACTGGGCACCTACTGGCAGTGATGTCATGATGATAACGACATGATGACGACATGATATGTACTGATGTCGTACTGGTCAGTGGTCAGTGGTCGGCCTAGGACTCTCAACGCATGCATTCATGGTTGAGGGAGGGGAGAGAGAGAGAGGGAGGGAGATCCAGGAACGACATGGTCTGAGCCCAAGGCAAGGAGGGTCACGCTCCGTTGGAAATCGACCCGAGGGAAGGATACGATGATCGCCGCGGAAGGAGGAGCATCCCGTGTTCGGGTTCTAGTAATACCGCTGCACTAAAAGTACGAGTGCCATCATCGCACTTGGTAAGCCGGTACTGGTCCAATACTCTGCGTCTTCTCTTCCCTATGTCGTAGGTGGGGGGCAGAGAGTCGGCTGGGACGGGGACAGATGTCAGATGATAGTGATGACCTTGGATCTTAGGAGGTATGGACAGAGAGGTAGAAGGTAGGGCAGTAGTAGACAAGACGACATACTCGTAGATGTTGAGAAAGCAGGGAGAAGACGAAAGCAGTGAGGAGAAGCAAAAAAGACGCACACACACACATACACACGCACACGCACAACACCGAGAGAGAGAGAGAGAGAGAGAGAGGTAGAGGAAGAGAGGGAGAGAGGGAGAGGGAGAGAGGGGAGAGGAGGGGAGAGGAGGGGAGAGGAGAGAGAGAGAAAACCCCTCCCCAGATCTTGTTGTTGAAGCTTGAGAGTGTGAAAGACGTAAGCGGTCACTATCAGAGCAGGATGATTGGTCGGGTAGAGGAGTGAGAGCTGTCGAGGCGGGGTAATAGCCATCGAGCTACTGATAGCTACTAATAGCTACTAACAGTGCTTGCTACCTGTAATGCCGGTAAATTGAGTGAATCAATCTTGGAAGGGAAGATGCAATTGGCAATCAATGAGCAGAACAAGAAAAAGAAAAGAAAAAAAAACTCGTCTGTTCTGATTCGACTCATACGAGGCCTCGAGATGATATCTCATCCCAGTTCCACTAAAGAGCCTCCCACATCTGTACAGGGTGGGTTGAGTGGGTTGTTGAAACTTCACCATGGGTGGATGGGTGGGTGGTAGAAGAAGAAAAAAACAGAAAAAGAGCTATTATAGTATTATATTACTTCTTCTCCTTCCCCTCCCCCCACCGAGGGGACACCCTCCTTGAAAAAAAGAAGAAGAAAAAGAGAAAAGTAAACAGCATCACGCGGAAGGATAGAAAAAAAAACAACGACAACAACAGCAACGACAATCGAGGGGTCCAATTCCATCTCCTGTATCGGACACAAGTCAGACACAACCTTGCATGATTTGAAGTATGAAATGACTAAAAAAACCAGCATCTGATCTTTTTTTTTTTCCCCATCTCTTTTTTTCCACCTTTTCCCTCTCTTCTTCCCTGCACACCCCCCCACCCACAGCAGAGGTTACCGAACGAGTGCAGGGTCGAGGCGGGAATATTGTTCCTCGGAGGACGGGTCTTGTGGTTTGGTGGTCTGTGAGCGGTATTATCTGTGTTGTACGATAGGGCCTCTCGCTAGGCTGCAGACAGGGTGCTACGGCTAGTGATGTGGTGGATAACGCCAATAGCTTAGTGGTAATGCAGTGGATGGCAGTGGATTAGCGGTGATATTATTAGCACCAAAGCCTCTCCAGCATGGGTCCATGCTGTTACATATAATATAGTGTCCGGCCTCGGCCATCGGTGCGTCACCACGTTTTTTTTTTTAAGATTTAAAATTTAGAATTTAAAATTTTTTTACAACTTTTTTATTTTTCAATTCTTCCTTTTTTTTTTTTTTCCTGCCTCACGTGCAGTCATGGATCTGGTCGAGGCCGGGGGTCAGAGGGGGAAGATCAAAGCCCACGGTCGGAGACGAGGGCTGGGAGGGACAGGAAGAAAGAGAAGAGAAGAAATCCCCTCAAATTTACCCGGATGGGCTGTCGACTCAAAACTACGAGTAAATGAATGAAAAAAAAAATGGATAAAATAACGAGTGGATTCTCGGTCAGTGACTGACTTGCTAGTCTCGTGAACCTCCCTCCCGCTGCCATGACAGTGCAATCATAGTCATATGGACCTTGCTGTGCAGGTGCTCGCACGGGCAGTGCTGTCACATCATCCATCATCACATCGACGTGGGATTATTCGTATCAAGATATGTGTGTATGTATATCTCTATCTCTATCCATCTATCCATCTATCTATATATGTATGTATGTATGTATATCCTATAGAACCTGAGAGGTATTACTCCGTAGCTGTCACGAGCATGCCCCATCTAACGTGGTATCGATACCCCACCGTCGATCGAATGCGGCTTTCCCAGCCAGCGGAGTCCAGCCCATGTGAGTACCTATCTGAAGCCTGCAAGACGACTCCGTACTCGCCAAGAAGGAGGGGACGATGCAGACACACACACACACACACACACTCACGCAGAGAGAGAGAGAAGGGGGGCGAGAGAGGGAGGGAGGGAGGGAGAGAGAGAGAGAGGAGAAACCATTGGAAATAGTATGATGATACCAGTAGCATGCCATCATCCGTCACTGCTCGCCCAATACTCCGTGCTCCGTTGTGCCGTCAGCCCCACACGACCTCGACCTGCTGGGACCTTGTACATGTACTCCCCTCTCTCTCTCTGTGCAGACTACGACGTATGCGTACATGCTACGAGCATCGGTAGCACTCAAGAGGGATAGCACTAGATTGGCAGTACAGCCGCGAGTAGTAACTGCTCTGCGCTTTTGGTACCGTTGCCATTTCTCTGACGTACAAAACCCTCTTTCTCTTTTTCTGCCTCCTCTCCCCTCTATCCTGTCAGGCCTAGACCCAGCTCCTAGCTCCGTCTCCGTCTCCGATTCCCTTTCTTCTTCTTCTTCTTCTTTCTTATTTCCCGTCCGAGTAGCCTCATCGTCGTCTTCTCTCCTCCCTCCGTCTCTCTCCTCCTCCATCACCCCTCATCTGGGAGAGCTCACGACAACCCCACACCCCACCTCTCTCTCCCTCCCCCCTCCATCATCGACCTCCTCTCCAGCAGACTGTCAGGAATCATGGCCTCGGTGCCGCAGCAGCCTCTTACCTTTCATGATGTTTTCGAAGACGACGACGATGTCGAGGAGCAGGGCGCCCCTACCGTCCACCGCATCCGCGCCAACTCGAGCATCATGCAGGTGAAGAAGATTCTTGGTGAGTTGCTCTCCCCCCTCTGTCCGGGGGATGCAGACGCCCCCCCTCTCTCTCCCCTTCGCCTCCCCACCCACCATGGCGGACCGACGGCTAACCGTAGACTTCATCTTCTCCCGCCAGTTGCCAATCGTGGTGAAATTCGTAAGTCCTCTTCTCGTCCCTGCCCGGATTGCATCACCTCGGGCGCATTCAGCTGACGGTGCGTGATAGCTATTCGTGTATGACAGATGACGAACCCCCAGTGACATCTGACGCAAAACGAGCTTCTTGGGAAATACTAATGGGATGCATCTGCCTGCGCGCGCCCATATAGATCTTCAGAACCGTGAGTAATCACCATCCCTTCCTCTCCGGCCACGGTGACGTCGGCTGTGTACTGTCTTGTCACCATGACTGACGACGAGCCTGTTTTCCTGCTAGGCTCACGAGCTGTCCCTGCACACCATTGCCGTCTTCAGGTAATACAGACATGACTGGCTCGCCGACCGATGCCTTGACCCCCCCTTCCTCCTGGCCTCCCGCATGCGTGCCCCCAGCCCGTTGCGTCCCGTCCCGCCTTCCTGCTTGTGCTTGTGCTGACCCGAGTTTCCACCGCCGTATAGTTACGAAGACCGTCTGAGCATGCACAGGCAGAGTACGTGGAACCATCCGTCCTCCTCTCGGACTCGGTCAATCCTGCCTGCCGTCCAAGCGCATGCCGCACGTGCCTTCTGCAACAGATGCTGACCAGTCTCAACAGAGGCCGACGAAGCCTACGTCATCGGAAAGCGTGGCCAGTACACCCCCGTCGGCGCCTACCTCGCCGGCGACGAAATCATCAAGATTGCCGTCGAGCATGGCGCCCAGATGATCCACCCCGGTTGGTTTACCTCTTCACATCCATGCAATGCCTCAGCTCGTGCATATCCGGCATATGCACGCCACCCTCCGCCCCCCGCCCCCCGCCCCCCCCTCCTTCCCTCGGCTAACACGTGCATCTGTCTTCCAGGTTACGGATTCCTGTCTGAGAATGCCGACTTTGCCCGCGCCGTCGAGAAGGCCGGCCTCATTGTACGCGCCCCTCCCCCCCCCTCACTTGCTGCTCGGCTGCTGCCGCTCCGCTCGTCCGCGGCAACCGCTAACAAGGAATCGCCGATGACAGTTCATCGGACCTTCTGCCGAGACCATCGACGCCCTCGGTGACAAGGTGTCGGCCCGTAATCTCGCCCTCGCCGCCAATGTCCCCGTCGTCCCCGGTACCAAGGGCGCCGTCGCCACCTACGAGGAGGTCAAGGACTTCACCGACCAGTATGGCTTCCCCGTCATCATCAAGGCCGCCTTCGGCGGCGGTGGCCGCGGTATGCGTGTCGTCCGCGATCCCGCGTCGCTGAAGGAGAGCTTCGAGCGTGCCACATCCGAGGCCAAGTCGTCCTTTGGCAACGGGACCGTCTTTGTCGAGCGCTTCCTCGACAAGCCCAAGCACATCGAGGTCCAGCTGCTGGGCGACAACCACGGCAACATCGTCCACCTGTACGAGCGTGACTGCTCCGTACAGCGCCGCCACCAGAAGGTCGTCGAGATTGCGCCCGCCAAGGACCTGCCCGCCGAGACCAGGGATGCCATCCTGGCCGACGCCGTCAAGCTGGCCAAGGCGGCCAGCTACCGCAACGCCGGTACCGCCGAGTTCCTCGTCGACCAGCAGAACCGCTACTACTTCATCGAGATCAACCCCCGCATCCAGGTCGAGCACACCATCACCGAGGAGATCACCGGCATCGACATCGTCGCCGCCCAGATCCAGATTGCCGCCGGCGCCACCCTGGCCCAGCTAGGCCTGACCCAGGACCACATCTCCACCCGCGGCTACGCCATCCAGTGCCGCATCACCACCGAGGACCCGGCCAGCGGCTTCTCCCCCGACACGGGCAAGATTGAGGTCTACCGCTCCGCCGGCGGCAACGGCGTCCGTCTGGACGGCGGCAACGGCTTCGCCGGCGCCGTCATCACCCCCTACTACGACTCCATGCTCGTCAAGTGCACCTGCCACGGCTCCACGTACGAGATTGCCCGCCGCAAGGTCCTCCGTGCCCTCATCGAGTTCCGCGTCAGGGGTGTCAAGACCAACATCCCCTTCCTGGCCTCGCTGCTGACCCACCCGACCTTCATCGACGGCAACTGCTGGACCACCTTCATCGACGACACGCCCCAGCTCTTTGACCTGGTCGGCAGCCAGAACCGGGCCCAGAAGCTGCTGGCCTACCTGGGCGACGTCGCCGTCAACGGCAGCAGCATCAAGGGCCAGATCGGCGAGCCCAAGCTCAGGACGGACATCATCATCCCCGACGTCTTCAGGTCCGACGGCACCAAGGTGGACGTCTCGGAGCCCTGCAAGGTCGGGTGGCGCAACATCCTGGTCGAGAAGGGACCCAAGGCCTTCGCCAGGGCCGTCCGCGAGAACAAGGGCTGCCTGCTGATGGACACGACCTGGCGCGACGCCCACCAGTCGCTGCTGGCCACGCGCGTCCGCACCGTCGACCTGCTCAACATCGCCAAGGAGACGAGCCACGCCCTGTCTAACCTGTACAGCCTCGAGTGCTGGGGCGGCGCCACGTTCGACGTCGCCATGCGCTTCCTCTACGAGGACCCGTGGGACCGTCTGCGCCGCATGCGCAAGCTCATCCCCAACATCCCCTTCCAGATGCTCCTGCGCGGCGCCAACGGCGTCGCCTACTCGTCCCTGCCCGACAACGCCATCGAGCACTTCTGCGAGCAGGCCAAGAAGAACGGCGTCGACATCTTCCGCATCTTCGACGCCCTCAACGACATCGACCAGCTCGAGGTCGGTATCAAGGCCGTCCACAGGGCCGGCGCCGTCGTCGAGGGTACCGTCTGCTACAGCGGTGATATGCTGGTAAGTTCTGTCCCAGGCGAAGCGAAGTGAGGAGAGGAGGAGGAGAGAGGAGTGACGGGGTGAAAAAAGGAGGAGAAGAAGAGAGAGAAAAAAAAAAAGAGAGAGAGAAAAAAGAGAGGGGAAAAAAAAAAAAGACTGTAAACTGACAAGACCCAAAAAACAGAACCCCTCCAAAAAGTACAACCTCCCTTACTACCTCGATCTCGTCGACAAGCTCGTCGCCCTCGACATCCACGTCCTCGGCATCAAGGACATGGCCGGTGTCCTCAAGCCCCACGCCGCCACCCTCCTCGTCGGCTCGATCCGCAAAAAGTACCCGGACCTGCCCATCCACGTCCACACCCACGACTCGGCCGGTACCGGTGTGGCTTCGATGGTGGCCTGCGCCCAGGCAGGAGCGGACGTGGTCGACGCCGCCACCGACAGCCTGTCGGGCATGACGTCGCAGCCCAGCATCAACGCCATCCTGGCGTCGCTCGAGGGCTCCGACCACCACCCCGGTCTGGACCCCCACCAGGTCCGGGCCCTGGACACGTACTGGTCGCAGCTGCGGCTGCTGTACTCGCCGTTCGAGGCGCACCTGGCCGGCCCCGACCCCGAGGTGTACGAGCACGAGATCCCGGGCGGCCAGCTGACCAACATGATGTTCCAGGCCTCCCAGCTCGGCCTGGGCTCGCAGTGGCAGGAGACCAAGAAGGCGTACGAGCACGCCAACGAGCTCCTGGGCGACATCGTCAAGGTGACGCCGACGTCCAAGGTGGTCGGCGACCTGGCGCAGTTCATGGTGTCCAACGGCCTGGGGCCCGAGGACGTCAAGGCGCGGGCGTCGGAGCTCGACTTCCCCGGATCGGTGCTCGAGTTCCTGGAGGGCATGATGGGCCAGCCCTACGGCGGCTTCCCCGAGCCGCTGCGCAGCGACGCCCTCCGCGGCCGGCGCAAGCTGGACAAGCGTCCCGGCCTCTCGCTGGAGCCGGTGGACCTGGGGCAGATCAAGCGCGACCTGATCAAGAAGTTCGGCGCGCCCATCACGGAGTGCGACGTGGCGTCGTACGTCATGTACCCCAAGGTGTTTGAGGACTACAAGAAGTTTGTGCAGCAGTACGGCGACCTGTCGGTCCTCCCGACGCGCTACTTCCTCTCCAGGCCCGAGATCGGCGAGGAGTTCAACGTGGAGCTGGAGAAGGGCAAGGTGCTGATCCTCAAGCTCCTGGCCGTCGGACCGCTCAGCGAGAACACGGGCCAGCGCGAGGTCTTCTTCGAGATGAACGGAGAGGTCCGTCAGGTGGCCGTCATGGACTCCAAGGCTGCCGTGGAGAATGTGAGCAGGCCCAAGGCCGACGCGACCGACTCCAGCCAGGTCGGCGCTCCGATGTCCGGTGTCTTGGTGGAGCTGCGCGTGCACGAGGGTACGGACGTTAAGAAGGGCGACCCTCTTGCGGTCTTGTCTGCCATGAAGATGGTGAGTCTTTCAGCTCTTCCCCCTTCCAATCACGGACCTAGGTCTGATGAGATGCTGACTGAAACCCTTCCCTGCTGTCTTGTAGGAAATGGTCATCTCTGCCCCTCACAGCGGCAAGGTCGACAACCTCCAAGTCAGGGAGGGAGACTCTGTGGATGGATCGGACCTGGTGTGCAGGATCATCAAGGCATAATGTCGTGCCGCACACACATAAAGCACCAGGGGAAAGAAAAAAAAATTGGAACTGGAAGCAAAAAAAAAAAAAAAAAAGAGGATGTATGATGTTATCGTGTCTGCTTTATCTAGTGTGTGTGTGTGTGTGTGTGTGTGGTCACGTTTTGTCTCACGCGTACTGCATGCTTTTTCCTTTCCTCTCTTCTCTTCTCTTTCTTCTTCTTTCTTCTCTTCTCTTCTTTTCCTTTCGAATACAGAGTAATGGTTGATCAGATGAAAAAGTCGCTCCTCGTAGGGGTTTCTGAACACCCGAGACCGGTGACCCCTTCCTCGTCAGTCAAAGATGACGAAGCTGACCGGTGAGGATGTCATATCTGCCAGCCATCCGTTGACCTTGGACATGAGCATCCGCCAATCTGCATGCCAGCAACAAGCGAGATTCTTGCTCGCCTTCACCCTCGTCCTGATCGCCTTGTTCGACGTCGCGATCTCGATCTTGACCGGTCAGGGATGCAGATGCAGTATCAGCACCGGCGACAATGGAGGAAGACGAGGAGGAAAAGGAAGGGGAGGAGGAGGAGAAGGAGGAGGAGGAGGAGGAGGAGGAGGAAGAGACTGGCCAGCGCCAACGCCAGAGTGTCAAGAGGGGAGAGAGATGATGGTATGCTTGACGTAGAAGGGATGAGAGAGTTGATAGGAAACGGGACAGGAGGGGTGGGTGTGGGATCGAACGGTTAGACTCTATGTCCATCTCTTCTCCTCTTCCTTCCTTCTTTCTTCTCTTCTTGTTGACCAGAATGGCAGAGATGGGGTGGTTTAAGATTTCTTTAAACGGTAGATATTTTTTTTTTTCCAGAGCAGTATGGTATTTTTGGGGGTTCAGTGTACGGCTATATATATATATGTGTGTATGTGTACATAACATGTATAATACGATATCATATATATACATCTTGTCTGCTCTACATGACATATAGAGTAGAGTCGCATCTAACCACGTTCTTTGTCGGGATGGACGGATGCCAGGAAAGTAGATGGGATCGCGTAACAGGGACAGCAGCCGGTAGACAGGGATACAGGGATCAGACAGAGACGGATAGACAAGAGTCAGAGAAGAGACAAGGACAGGTATCATTATCAGTCAGCAGAGAGGGAGAGTAAGACTGATTGATGCCGGGGGGGGGGGGGGGGGGGGGGGGGGGGGGGGGGGGGGGGGGGGGGGGGGGGGGGGGGGGGGGGGGGGGGGGGGGGGGGGGGGGGGGGGGGCAGGCGTAGACAGAGTATCATTGCATGGCTGGCCGGAGCGTCAGTTAGCAGCGTGCCCGCCCGGGACTGCCGAATGCGTCGTAGGTACCGCGAGTCCTGGTACTTCCAACCCACCTGCTCCGTAATGCCCACTCACCGGGACGTAGGTACGGTGGCGGAGCGAAGCGAGAACGAACCTCTCGATAGGGCGGCCGGAGGCAAGAGGAAGAAGAGAAGAGGTCGAATAGGCGGGGGAAAAGTGCGGGGGTGGAGACAGTGATCACGTGCGTCTTCCCGGCTCCTGGCTCATTCCGCATCAGTCGATACACCCACGGTCAAGGTCCAAGAAGGAGGATTGATTCACAAGTGTCTTACACCGGACTTGCCTGGATCAGATCGTCTGCTTTCGTTTTGTCAGCTGTTCCCTTGTCATCCTCCTCGTCAGTCACGTTTTGCACGCTGATTTGATGACTAAGTTTACACGCACACACACACACACACACACACACACGCACACACACACATATATATATATATGTATAAAGCTCAAACTCAACAAAGATGCTTATAATTTTTTTTGGGGAAAAAAAATAAAAGGAAGTGAGAAAAGGCTATTGTTTCAAGTTATACGGGTAGAAATAGACTATTTCAGACCTGTATTATCCGTATTGATGAACATCTACAGATTCTGTACAGATTACTCTGTATGACTGTCGGCAATACATCAATCAGTATTAAACCGTGCAAAATACCGTTTTAGCTCGATACGTAAAAAAAAAGACTCCACCTCTCCCCCCCCCCCCCGCTCTCCCGCTCTCCCCCATCTTCTTTTCTTGGCAATAAATGATGACCATTCTCTGCATCTGCATCTGAGCTCTCGTGAGCATCGTCCTACTCTGTACCCGACACACGCTCTTTCAACGACGAGACGATCCATTCCGCCTTCTACACTCCTACGCCTCCCACCGCCCTGAACAGTCAGCTCGCATGGGTTCTCACACTTGACGGCCTAGCCACCATCGCAAAAGGACGAGACGGAACCCCCCCCCCATCATGGAAGGTCTCCAACTATCACAGGTCCTAGCCGACCTTGGCAATCTAGGCGCCGCCGTACGCTCTCCCTCTTTCCCCTCCCCCTCCCCCAACACACACGCACGCACAGTTCTCTCTCTCTCTCTCCTCCTCTCCTCTCTCGCTTTCCCTGCCCCCCTCCTGACACCACCGACAACAGGAACCTGAAGCTGCCGCCGCCATCGTCAACGCCAACACTCGCGAACCCGTCAGCGCCTCATCGTCGGCGGCCCCTGCGGCCTCCCCGGCCCAGGCCTCCTCCCAGACTCGTGGGCAGCCGCGACAGCAGAAACACCAGCACCAGCACCAGCACCAGCACCAGCAGGATATGCGCCCTTCCGTACTGAAGAGTGCGTGGTCGACGGATCCTTCCGGTCCAGTTGACAAGTTTGGTCGACGAATCTTGATCACCTCACCTAGTCCGCGATCTGGGTCTTGCACGCCCGGCAGTGAGGTGTGTTCTGCCCCTCCTCTGTCTATCTCTCTTCCCCATCACCATCATCCCTCTCCTTCCTTCTTACTCGTCTATATTATCCAACCGATGGACGGCAGACTGACCGATCTTTTCTAGACACCCAGGCTCGACGACGACCTCGAACGAGCCTCGACGCTCATGGCACTGTACGACATCCGATCGAAGCTCAAGCAGCAGGACAACAGCAGCCTGGCCAAGGCCCGGGAGAAGATCAACGCTCTGGCTGCCAGGCAGCAGGCTCAGCAGATGAGCGTGCAGGGTCGGAACAACCGGTACTCGTATCCCAAACCCGGACTCTAGTTCCGAGGCAGAATATGCCGCCACCACTCGGGATCATCGAAACGAGCAAGAGGATAGATGCCGTCAACAGATTATTCGGGGGACCATGACGTCAGGGTGGACCATACTGTCCCCCACGAAACGACAGGAGAAGAAAGAAGAAAGAAAGAAAAAAAAAAACGAGTCAGTCGGCAGAACAGACATCTTCCCTACGACCTGCATAGACAGGCTCGACCGCCTCCACACAGAGAGGCATACCATATTGTATTTCTATGCGTCGGCATTGTGGGATTTCAGCAGGCCGTGAAAAAGGTGCAAGGAGCGAAAACGAGGACTGAACGGCTGGAGTTTGACATTATGGGGGGTTCTATTTTTTTTTTCTTAATTTTGTTCTTCTCCGTCTTTTGTGTTTTTATCTTTTATTTTTCTTCCTCCTCTTTTTTACGTCTTTCCTAATCATCCACCTATTGACCAGCAATCTTCTTCTACTTTCTCTTCTACTTCTTCCTCTTCTTCCCTTCGTACTCTCGCATGTCCTGTGTAGCGAAATATGTCGTCTTCGGTGATGCTAGGAAAGAGATGTCGAGAGGAACGGAGCATGCTGGGCTTGATAGTTACTCTGTCAGGAGAGGTCATTGCTCTCCTGATCAAGTCATGCACACATACGACCTGGGGTCAAATCAGAATCGTATGACGAGTTTTTTCTTCTCTTCTTCTCTTCCCCTTCTCTTCTTTTTTTCTCTTATTCAATTTTTTCTTTGGCCTCTCCTCCCCTCGGGTCAAGGTCAAGGTTTTCCTCAAGTCGTGACTGCGCAAACTCTGTGTACGTGCGGGAAAATCGATGACGAACGACGGAGATGCGCAGACGGCACTCGAACGAATTATGTGGGGAAGGATTCTTTACCGGAGAACGGGTGCTGATGGAAAGTTTTTTTTATATATCATTATTATATATATATTGAATATCTCCACGGAGCGCATGTGCGATGTGACGCGAGTACGATGGTAGGGTTCGATGATGCCTTCTGACAGAGAGTCGTACGAAATCGGTGGCAGTGGCGTGGCGTTGTCAAGGTGGCGTTGGGGAGGGGGAAGAAGGAGCATATGACGGATGACGGCGACGACGACGATGGAATCTTCTCACCCCCCCCCCCCCCCCCCCCTCTATTCTACCTACCAATGAATTTTTTTTTTTTGAATATATTACTATTACTCCGAATGTAAGCCATAAGCCAGGATGGCCTGGAGCCTCTCCTACTAAGTGAGCCACGCATATTCGCATATCGAAGAGTGAGAAGCTCAGATGCCGAGTTCACCTTGTGTGCGAGCAGTAATGTAGGTACACCTTTTTCTCTTTCTTCTTCTCTTCTTCCCTCTGGGTGTCAGCTTAGTAATGATCGTATTAGTAATGATCCAGTCAATCTGTGAGCGGTAATAGAGTATTCATTAATACTGATACGGCCTAATACAGCCTACGAGCTACAGCCTACAGGATGTTCAGAGGACGGAATGTTCAGAGGACGGAATGTTCAGCAGAGCCGACGTGACCTGGACGGTACATGATTTTTACTCATCATACCATCACCCTCCATGGGCCATGAAGGGCCATGGGCCTGCAGAGCCTTTGAACCTGTACGGGAATATCCATAAAAGATGCTGGATGCTGGACAGGATGCCACGAGTCCACACGTAACGATTCCGCGACTCAGCCCAGCCCAGCACAGCCCCCCCCACACACCTCCCTGCAACCTTTGCCTCTGGACTTTGGCGGTCTTGGCTCTGCTGTCGTGACCGTTGACTGACCTGTCGGGAGAAGAGAGGAGGAGGAGGGAGAAAAGAAAAGAGGCGTGATGTAATGACTTGTAAGGTATCCTGACACTAAAATACCTTAAAAAAAAGTTGCCTGCTTCCATTTCTTCCCATCCTCTTCAGCTGGAACCAGCTTATTTCGGTCTCTCCCCCCCCCCCCTTTCTGTCTCAAGTGTCCATAAGCAAAGCTATACATCTTCCGAATCCGGTGGATTACTTCTACTCTTTTTATCTTTCTTTATTATTAAATCTTTTTTTTTTTTAAAAAAAAAATCTTTACTACTCTTTATAATTCTCTACTACCCTTGTTGTCGATATCAGCGTCATTGATAACAACCTTCTGTATCTCTACTCTCTCTCTCTCTCTCTCTCTCTTCTTTCCTCATTTCCTCTCTCCTCGTCATATACATATCTTCTCAAAAGACATCATCCTTTGAAAAAAAAAAAAAAAAAAGAGGCAAGGAAGAAAGCAACCATTTCCCGATAATACAACACTCGGATAGAACGTAACAAACCCCTCCGAAAAAGAAGAGAAAAAGAAGAGAAAAAAAAACCTCCTTCCACAATGGCCGCCATCACGACGATGGACGCCGATAGCGTCGCCAACCTCGAGAAGCGTGCGCGCTGCTTCCTCCGATACGGGAGGCGATACTGCCGCAGCAACTGGTACTACTATGGTCGCTGGGTGCTGACCGGCATCGCCATCCTCGCCTGTCTTTTGTTTCTCCTATGCTGCTGGTATGTTGTCTGATCTACACACACACACACAAGGACGCCCACACACTCTCTCCCCCCCCCCCCCCATATCTCTCTCCCCCAAGTCTGGGAAAGATGAGACGTGGGAGAGAAAGGAGAGAAGAGAAGAGAACGAGAACGAGGCTGACCTGTCGGACGCTGATCGCCGTCCAGCTTCACCGCTCGTCGCCGTCGCCGTCGCGGAAACCAACCGTACTACGGAACGGGCTGGATGGCGCCTCCCCCAAAGTACGGCAACCACGGCAGCGACTACCAGATGAACCCCCAGACGGGCGCCGGCGCCGGCGCCAGCGCGGGAACGTACCCCCCTCCGCCTCAGCCCCCTCCCGCCTACGGACCCCAGTACGGCCACGGCCAGCCGCAGCCTCAGTACCAGTACCAGTACTACGGCCAGCCGCAGCAGGGTCAGCCTCAGCAGTACTCCGGGACCATGCCCGCCTCCGACCAGGCCTACTACGGCCAGCAGCAGCAGTATCACGAGACGGGAGTGCAGCCTCCGGCCAATACGCATCAGCCGGGGAAGTGAGGCCGCCAGCTGGGGCCTCTCTCTCTGGAGTGTGACGACGTGTTAGAGAAGGGAGGTACGGGGGGTGCAAGAGGAATGTGTCATGACTTGTGTGTGTGTTGTGTGTTGTGTGTTGTGTGCGTGTGGTGTGTATGTGCTAGCAGGATATTTGTTTTTTTTTTGGGGGGGGGAGTTGGGCATGTCCGTCTTCTTCCTCTTCTCATTGTTATACCTCTTCATACTGTTACGATTTATTCTATATCCATCCTTCCTCTCTTCATCTTCTCTGCAAATGGCATTGCCAAGCAGGTGAAGAATCTGCCGTAATACGGAGAGAGTATGTGCATCGTGTCGCAGTCCTGGAAACACCCAACCGCCTAAGCCAAGATACGTGGCTACCAAGCACGGAGTTACGGCAGCTGGCAGGAAACCGTAGGGAGAAGAGAGAGGAAGAAGAGAGAGAAGAAAGAAAAAGGCTATGCTAGGCATCGTGGGATACTCCGACAATGGCCTACGATGACGCTGTCCGCTCTCCTGGACGCTCCGATTCGGGACGAGGAGGATCTGAGGTTGGCAAGCTGCTCTCTCACGCCGCGGGGGAGCTGCCTCTCCCCCTCTCATCATCTCGCCCGTCCGCCGCCCCCCGTGGGCATGACCGTCGACGGCCGCGCAAGTACGAGACGCAGCTGGCTTGCGAGGACACGTCTTCGATGCGCTCTGCGGTGGGACCCAAGGATGGGATGGGACGACGGCGAGAAGAGAGGTCGCGGGCCGGCAGATCGACGTCTCCCCTCCGATGAAGGCATCTGCACCGCCGTTCTCGATCTGGACGTCATCTCCCGGGTCATGGTATGATTGATAGTCAGACTGCCTCACGTGCCGTCGCCATCACGCCCCAGCCCGCCTCGACCAATCATCCTGCCGCAGTCGAGAGAGAAGAGGCTCTGCGCGTCGGCGTTATCCTGCTGAATTGCGGGCTGGAGGAACGCCTTCTTCGCCGGCGACGAGTCTTCCCCCCCTTCGGCCTCCATCAGACGTTTCCGCCTATTAGGCGAGATCGCACTGAGGGCGGCTCGGCTCCTGTCCGGTAGGAGAAACGTGGCGCGGTCGAAGTCGATGAGGGTAATCTCTCCATCCGGACCTTGCAACACGTTGGGCCATCGAACGTCGCCGTGAACCACCCCGAGCCTGTGCATCTGACCGAGGATGGAGGTGACCGTATTGGCGACGCCGGCCCTGGACGCCTCGTCGCCTGCTCGGACCTCGGTGCCTCCGTAGGAGAGCAAGATGAACCGGATTATACGCACGTCGAAGTAGTAGTAGAACACCTGGCCCAGTGGCTTGAGATCGACGGAGCCGAGGCACACGGGAATGCCGTGGCCCTGCAGAGGCTGCAGCTTCTGGTAGACGGCCGCTTCCTTCTCCAGCTCTGGCACGCGCCCTCCGGTGACGCCCTTGGCTATGAAGGTGTAGCCGTACCGCAGCAGCGTTATCTGAAACAGGGCACCGCAGGCACCCTCCTTTCCGAGGACCACGACGCCCTCGTCCAGACCCTGAGCGAATTGCCGCCGCAGCAGGTCCATGAACTGAGAGTACGAGACCGGGTGTCTGGCCTGTCTGGCCTGTCCGGCCTCGGGGAGCGTCGTACCGAGGTGCAGCTCCACGTTGGGGCATTTCTGATCCGACAGCTGGCCGCCCACGAGGGACAGGAGGCACGACGGCGTACAGTACTGCCTTCGCCCCTGGTACGTGCTTTCGCCGCCGGTAGGTGCTCGGTCTGACGACGCAGCGGTGCCGTGTCGCTGAGGAGAACCGTCCGGCCGGCCGGCACGATCGCCTTCGGACGCCCCCCCACCGGTGCCTGCTCCCCCTCCGGGCCTGTCGTGTCCATGGCTTCGGAGCACCCGGTCCGACTCCTCGGACGGGGACTGCTGCCGCGGGTTCCGTCTGGTCTTCTTGATCGGTGCCGGCAGCCAGCCTGGGCTGCTCGTAGCACGGCTGTGCTTCCTTCCTCTGGGTGTCGTGGGGTCTGCCCTGGCTTTCTCCTCCTCCTCCTCCTTGACAATCTGGTCTAGGATGAAGCCGAAATCGACTTCCCATTTCTGACATTTTTCCGTCGCGGCCACCCGTTCACTATTTGTATGCTGCCTCGATTGGAGAGCCGTGAGGGTGAATGCGAGAACTTGGCAGATGGCATTGCTGTAGGCAGCATCCCCGTCTACCAGAACCTCGCGTGACGGTTGCGCTAGGTGGTAGTGGAGAACCGCCGGGTCTGCCCAGTCGATCTTTAGAAAGACGATTGCGTCGCCGTTGGTCAGGTAGCTGTATTCCAGCCCAGCCTCTAGCATGTAGTGATATGTCTGTGTGACGGCCGCTGCGGAGAGGAGTTCGGCATAGTGCTTGAACTTGTCGGGGTCGGCCGTGGGTATAGTCTGCTTGTTGACGACCTCGCGAAAGATGTCCATCTGCCGGAGACCCTGCTCGAGGTGTGCCGTGTGCAGCTTATGGGGCGCCTTGTATTCGATGACATACGCGATGTCTCTCTGAGCCGAGTTTCGAAAGACGCAGATCTGGTCCGTCCGTAGCCTCGCGTCTCGCTCTACCGTGTCCCTCTGATCGGTCGGGTCACGGAGGCTGCTTGCGGTCGTCTGGAACTCGACCTGGTCGGGGATGGAGAGGCCGAACCTCGTGGGATGGAAAGCGTTCATCTTGGATAAGATTATGCGCACAGGATCTTCGATGGCGTTGTTCTGGACGAAGACGAGAGATGCTTCGTCCTGTACCCGCCGCATGCTCAGGCGGTGGCCGATGCCCTGGAGGAAATGCAGGCTCTCGAAGAGTCGCCCATCGTCAGGGAGAACCCGGTCGATGAGCCGGATTGTCTCTATCTGCGTCGAGATGAAGCCGGCCCAAGGCACAAGAAGGGTTGGGCAGTGCTTTCGGGCAGGGTTGGTAGTGGGAGCTCTGGTCGTGAGGTAGCCGTCGGTGACAAGTTGGATCTTGGATAAGACATGCTCCTGGCAGGCCGCCAGGTATTCCTCGAGGGTCGTGTTACGGATGAGGCGCCGGGCCTGCTCCCCGTCACGTCGGGCCTGCTCCCCGTCACGTCGGGCCTGCTCCCCGTCACGTCGGGCCTGCTCCTTTTCGCGTCGCTCCTGCTCCTTCTCCTGACGTAGCTGCTCAATTATCCGATGGAGTTCTTCGTTTGTGGACATTGCGTAGCAGTAGAGAAATATCTACGAGGGATGTGGGAACAGCCTTGTCACTCCTTCACGATGATGCTCGGTCCACCTCTTGTCTCGGTTGCGTCAGTCACCTGCCCCCCCCCCCCCCCCCCCCCCGTACAATCGATGACTAATACAACAAACACGTGGGCATCGGAGAGAAACCGATGCAATACGCGCGAGCCTCCTAGAATCCCGTGTCTACCGGACAGAAGAAATACCGTCGTCTGATCAGAGCGATCGATGACATGGTGTGTTCTCGCACGACTTCTGCGGATGGTCGGTCCTATCCTGTGCTGCGCGTAGAAGACGAGGCAGCTCTGAGCAGGCCGATACCCACCGTCGAGGCTGATGATGCAAGGTGTTGTCGGCATACGGAAGCTGACCTGCTGACTGACAGCAGCAGCATTGATCAGGTGATGAGGGTCTTGAGAGGACAGAGAGAGTAATGATACAGAGTCTCAGATGAGTCGGAGGGATCTGCAATTCCTGTCGAGAGGCAGATGCCAGCGTATCGACGGATCACAACACCAGAGTTCCCCCCCCCCCCGCGCGCGTACAGATTACTGATTACAGATTAGTGGTATTGATTACTTCCGTAATAAGGGTGATTTCGTCTTGGGGGGTGGGTGGTGGGTGGTGTCGGTCTGTCGTAACCTGGTATATGATGTATATACCCATGCCGGCATGGACTCATAGAAGCGAGTAGAAGTGCATACTGTGTGCGTCTGACTCTTTAGAGAGGAGAGGAGAGGGAGAGAAGCCACCGAGCCGTCAATCTGCGTAGTACAGAGTACAGATGGACAGGTCTACCTGCATACGGATCACATACATGCACGGAGTGAGTGATGTATTGTCGATACTCGTAATGGTAGGAGATCGGGGCTTCATTCGTGAAACCACCCAAGTCTGTCGGACTGCATGGGAGACGAGAGACGACGTATGACCGGCTGTCATAGGCCCACCTGAGCAATCAGGCCTAGAGTCTTTGCTCGGTGGCACGGCGGTTCAGTCCAGCACGAATGAACGTTCACGTGACCATCCGAAATGCCTCATCTCGGAAGCGACCATGGCACGATGCCGACAAGAGCTGCTGCTGCAGGTACAGATTGCAAGCGTCGATGATGGACCCCCCCCCCTCTTCATCATTCTCCCATGAAATTTTTCTGTATATCCTCTACAGATTACAGATTACACCATGCCGCTCGTAATTTCCATCTCATCTCGCACGTGGGAAGGAGGGAAGACTCGGCATAGACAGGAAGTAGCCGTACAGGATTACAGTCATGTCTTGCTATTCATGGTCCCTCCCTAGGGATGTGCGTATCGATACCGTATTACATTGTATCGTTTACATTGTATCGTTTACATCGTATCATCAGACAGACTCCTAGAGGCTAGAGTCTGAGTCTAACCCCTGGAGGGGAAGGGAAGAGAAAAAGAGGAGATGCTTCCATATTAACTATCCACCATCCCATCCACTCTCCCCCCTCCCGTCATCCACTTTCTCACCACTAGGGCCCTCCTGCTCTTTTTGTCTTTTCTAGATTTTCTGTCTCTCATCCTGTCTCTCCTTTCTTTTTTTCTTTTTTTCTCTTTCTCCCTCCCCCCCCCAATCTATACACCCTGCGGTGCTTGCGCCGGTCATTCATTATTTTTGGTCATTGTCTGCTGCACTTCCGTCTCTTTTTTTTTTTCTTTTCCCCCTCTCCGCATCTCTTCGATAGAGACGAGAATACGATGCGCCTATCCATTCTCCCGACAGAATACGAACAAGAACGCATCCTTACCCTCTTCTGCTTTATGTAACGTACGACTGCTCGACCATCGCTTGCGACAGCCTCTCCCCAAAGCTCTGGGACGAAGAAAGAAAAAAAAAGAAAAGAAAGAGCACACGTCAACAAGAAGAGACTCGCTCCGTGTCTGGGAATAGTGAGAGACTAGGAGAGTCAAGACCCCCCCTTACGACTACCCCCTTACGACTACATCCCTAGTATTCGCTCTCGCATTCAGCACAACGCGCCCCTCCTCCCCCCCCCCCCCCCCCTGTCTACTCTGGATTCGTACCGTTTCATCCGGTCTGGGCATTCTTTTTGGGTTACCGAACCTGATCGACCATCCCCTGCTCTTCCCCGACATCCTATATTCTCCCTCCAATACACGACAACGACCACGACGATTGAGACGAACCGCACACTTTGCATCCTTCTTCTTCTTCATCCATTCTTCCCTGTTCTCCGTCGACATCCTTCCGTGTTCTCCTATCTGACGGGCCTACCTCTCTACATGGGTTCGAGTCGAGAACTGAGCCACGGCGACGAAAACAAGAGGTTCCAGACCGCCACGCGTCTCGCGTTTCATCTGCCGAATCCTATCCGACCAATTCCTTCCCTTTCTTTTTCTTCCTTCTCTTTATCCTCTTCGACTCACCAGAGAAGGTATTGACCGACGAGGAAACGAACGAGGGGCACAACCCCCGAAGAGAAGAGGAAAAGGAGGAGAAGCAGGGAATCAGAGTCGTCCGGCAAGAGTGGGAAGCAGAGGAAAAGGGAGGAGAAGAGAGGAGAGGGAAAAGACCGCAAGCATCATGCCTTCCATCTCCGTCGCCATGGCTCGGACCCTGCAGCCCAGCACTTGGGAGCAGGCCAAGGCGGTGCTGACCAGGAGCCTGCTGGCCGCGTCGTCGTCGCGCAGGAGCATCATCGACGACGCCGAGTCCTCGGCCACGGACGTCAAGACGGCCTTCTCCAGCTGGGACAACTGCATGGCGACCGACTACTGCAAGTGGCCCGCCATCGCCGTCATGGTCGTGGGCGGGCTCATCCTGCTCAGCGTGCTGTGGTGCGTGGCCCGGTGCTGCTGCTGCGCCAAGTCGTGCTGCTGCAGCTGCTTCTCCTGCCTCAAGTGCTGCGGCAACTGCTGCGGCTGCTGCGACCCCCCCGGCAGCCGCGGCCGCAACAAGCAGTACCTCCAGGAGCCCTACATGCCCCCGCACCAGGGGTACCGCACCGAGCCGGCCATGCAGGCCCCCTCGTACGGCATCACCTCGACCGCGCCCCAGTACGCCGAGTTCGACGTGCCCCGCAGCGGGAACAAGGGCGGCGGCGCCGGCGGCGAGGACTCCCTCCCGTCCATGCCCAGCTGGGAGGGCGCCAGCTCCAAGAAGATCGAGATCGAGGACGGCGCCGTGGAGCTCGACAACCTCGAGAAGAAGCCGGCCGCGTCCGAGAAGCCGCCCCTCAGCCCGGGCGCCCCCTCCAACGCCGGCCGGCAGACACCCACCCTCCCCGTCATGATGGGCAGCGGAGCCGCCGTCGCATCCGCATCCGCAGCCTACGGCAACCCCAGCGGCAGCAGCGCGGACCCCTACGCCGCCCCTTCGTACCGCCACCAGGATCCCTACGCCGCCCAGCCAGCCGGCGGCTTCGGCATGTACGGCGCCGCCAACAACATGAACGGCATCAACAGGGTCAACAACACCCCCTCCTCCTACGACCAGCCCTACGGCCCGCCCGCCGGCCGACAACCCTACGGCAACCAGCAGCCCTACGGCGGCCAGCAGCCCTACGACGCCCAGGCTCACAGCCACTACGATCAGGGCTACGGCCCGCCCGCCGGCCAGCAGCCCTACGGCAACCAGCAGCCCTACGGCAGCCAGGCCTACGACGCCCAGGGCAACGACACCTACAACAGCAACAACAACTACAACAACTACAACAACGAGTACGGCGCGCCGGCCGACCCCTACCGCCACACCACGTCCCCCGGGCCCGGACCCGCCATGGCCGCCCTCTCGGGTTACGGCATGGCCCGCCAGGGCAACGTGTCCCAGGACCCGTACGCACCGCCGCGCGTCGGCAGCCCCCGCGTGGCCAGCCCCGGTCCCGGTCCGGGCGGGAGCTACCGAGGCTACGGCGCCGGCCCCGGCACACCCGCCACGCGCGGCACGGCCGACCGATCTCTCAGCAATAGCAGTCCCGCACCGCCCTACGGTATGGACCCCCGCATGAGGAACTCACCCGGTCCGGACAGACAATCTCCCCGTCCCCTGATGAACAGCCGAGGCGCCGCGCCGACATCCCCCTCCTCCCCGCTGGGCGGCCACCTAGAACGGGAGGGCTCCCCCATCGTCAACACCGGCGGCTTCGACTTCACCTCTGGCTTCTCCAGGCCGCAGACGAGCGACTCGGAGAATGCGCCACCCCCGTCCGGAGCCAACCCGTTCGCCACGCCGCCTGGCCCACCTGCTGCTGCCGCTGCCTCTGCTGCCTCCAGCGCTCCCACACCGGCCGTCCTCGCTCCAGGATCGGGGGCCGCTTCGAATGAGAGTTATCCTGGTTACAAACCATACAGAGCTTAGTACATGTCTCTCTCTCTCTCTCTCTCTTTTCATGTATTAATCTTCCCTTGATCAATTTCTTTTCTTTTCTTCTCTTCTTTTGCTTTTTGTTTCCCACATTTTATTCCGTCATTTCTCTTTTTTTTTTTGACACATTGGGTTATTTTTTTTAAAAAAAATATCATGGCGTTGGGGAGTTTTGAGCGGTGCAACATATAGAAATGACACCTCTTTTTTTCTTTTCTTCTGATCTTTTTTTTTTCTTCACTTGGAAAAAAAAATTCCTCACTTGACAAAGATTCCATGTATATATATATTTCATGCATTGTATTGAAAAGTTCATCTCCAACATTTACCATAGAGTGAAGTGTCTAGAATAAATCTCTACGTTGCTATAGCGTGTCGACACATGAATCAGTCTAATGACGGGTATCCTATCAACATTGGCATGTATGTTTTACTGTTGTAGCTGAACCACTACTTTGCTCATCATGTAGTGTCTGGTGTAATAGAATGGGTAACCACATCACCACCGGTAAAGTATTCAGCTATTCTTTATCAAAGCACACACAGTAAAGCACAAATCACAGAAAGCTACTCATATGCCAGGCACTCGACAAAATGTATTGAATGCATTTCCAAGGTTAGGATTGACAAGTACAATACAGTTATGTACTGATAGGAACGAGTTGTTGACAGGCCATTGGTATAGGATAGTGACATGAAAGTGAATCGCCCAAAACGCCGACAACTCATGGAAGAGATGAAGAGATATTTTGAAGAAGAAAAGGGGGGGAGAAAAAGAAGAAACGAGTGCTTGAACAGTTCTGCGCCGTACAATCCCAAAGTCAAATGTATCCAAAACAAACAGAAAGAAAAAGTTGGTGTGTGTGTGTGTGTGTGAAAATGGGAGTCGCTGCTGTCTCCGATAGTCAAGACAGGTAGAAAGGGAAAAAAAAAAGACGAACAAAAAAAAACCAAGGGTGGCTGTAGCGCTTAGACAGGATATAAGACAGGATAATATAAAGAGAACGAGCAAGAGAAACAGACAGCGCACTGATAATTAGCTCTTGGTCAGACTAGAAGTGCCGACACTGCCGATGACGGTGCCCGCATCGCCATCCTTGGCAGGGTCGTACTCTGCCGAGCTGCCGCGTCGCTTCTGACTGTCATTGTTGGCACGTTGGTTCCCCTGGCCCTTCTTCTTCATCCTCTTATCGTCGTCGGAATCCTGACCGTCTCCGTTGTCGTCGTCCGGGTCGTCGTTGTCGCTGCTGGTGACGAGCTCCTCTCCCCGATCGGCTTCGTCGTCGTCGCGGTTGCGATGGTGGTGGTGGCGACGGTCGCCGCTGTCACTCTCATCCGGATCCTCGGTGGGCAGACGTTCGTGATGGTCGGCGCTGCCGGGCTCCTTGATGAAGGAGTCGATGATGTAGTACTGCATGGCGTTCATGATGAGGGGGAATATCATCATGACGAAGGCGATCTGGAGCCTCTCGTTGCCTTCGGTCCAGCTGAGCGCCCAGTCACCAATCTCGGATATCCAGGGCAGGACGAGGAAGATGATGAGGACGCAGACCTTCATGCCGAAGAGGCCGACGAAGTAGATGAGCGACTGCTTCAGCCACCACCACGCGCTGGGGGGCTGACCGTAGTAGCCTGACTGGATGGACTCGCGAGGCGTGCCGAAGGGTGTGCGGGCCACGAGGCCGGTCGTGATCTTGAGGAGGATGATGAGGATTGGGATGCCAACGGTGGTCTACGTCCCTATCAGCATATCCGACATCTATACGCGGAGCAGGTACACGGGCAGCGGGGGCAGCGGGGCAGAGGGGCAGAGGAGACTCACGTCTATGGCGAGGTTGAGGATGTAGAAGGAGCAAGGGTTGGGGACGTACCCGTCCTCGCGACGGGCCATGAGCTCGTCGCCGGCGCTCCTGGGGTCCATCTTGATGGCGAAGCGTCCGCTGGTGAGCATGGACATGAAGATGTTGGCGATATGCACTAGGACGGAGCCAAAGACCTGCTTTGACGCGTCAAAGAACCAAATCTTGACGGGGCGCTGCGGCCTCTCCCTCCACCTCTTGAACACGAGCGATAGTAGTGCCAGGGATCCCAGGGCGGCCTGCACGAAGAGGGAGAAGGGCCCCATGAGTCGGCAGTCGCCCTGGCTTCCCGGAGGTCCCACCGGGGGACCACCACCACCACCATCACCGGGAGGCGCGTCGGGAGGGGGATGCGGGTGTCCCATGGACGGCGGCGGCGGAGCAGTCATGGCCACGGCGGACCGTACGATGAACGAGGCGAGACTGTCCATTCTGTTGCTGTGTGGTTCGGTAGTATGTATATGAGATGCGTTCGATCGGTCTAAGTGGCGAGTCGGTCGAGTTGCCGGCGCAGATGCGATGGATGCAGGTTCAGAGGAGACGAAAGAAAAAGAAAAGGGCTTCTTGTTTTTCCTCCCTTCTCGCGTTTGTTTTTATTTCCAGAAAGGCATTAGGAGATTGTGCTGGGTTCCTCTTCCTTCCCTCTCTTCTGGAACCTGACTTGGCTTATTGTTTCAGATCGTTTGGCGAGAGAAGAATGTATGAGGAGAGACCCCGAGAGAGTGGGGGGGGGGGAGGCGAGGCGGTACGTGCGTATGTCGTCGTGTCAGGAAGAATGGAGAGAAAAAGAGGTTGGTCTCAGTGCGGTGGTGAAAGAGAAGGACAAAGAAGAAGGAATGGACGAGTTGTTCCTCTATCAAGCGATGCGTGTGTGCGTAAGTGTGTGTAGAGAGGGGGGGGAGAAGGAAAGAGAGAGGGGAGAGAGAGAAGAGACGGAGGAGAAAGATGTGGAAGTGCCCTGTGACAGTTAAAACCTGTGACGAGTTGACGATGCACTTTAAAGCCAAATACTCGTATTACCTACCGCCTGTATTTGAGTGCCAAGCGCTGGCCCTGCAGTGGGGGAAACGAGGTTTAGACAGGCAGGGGCAGTGTAAGTACAGGTAGTAGGACCACTACCAACAATCATCGTACGGACGAGTACAGGTACAAGTACAGGCAGTAGTACCCGTTACAGCTACTGCTAGGCAGCTGGGGGGGGAGACGGCGGAGGTCCCCCCCCAAGCCCCCCCAAGCTTCTCGAGCTGTCGCTGATTGGTCACCTCGGCTCCTCCTTACAGGTACATGTACGGAGTACAGTGGCTGTAACATGGGGTGGTCCGTCCCGGTCGCAACCTGACAGCCTAGCCAGGCATCCTGTCAGCGATGAGGAATAACGAAAACAAGAAAATATATTGATAGCAAGCATTAACAGATTAAGAATTTTGAGAGAGAAAAAAAAAGAAAGAAAAAAAACACATTTCCACGTATTTCATGATTATATATATATATATATATATATCTCTGCAAGTACTATTACTACTCTGTTCATCCTCGTCAATACAGGACGTACCCTGACCATCTGGTCGCTACGTATCATCTGATGGCTTGATACGGTGGACGCAACCACGGAAAGGGACCACATCCTCTCTGTACCTCGAATCTCAGGCCACCAGAAATCCACCTTCGTTTTGTTAACAAAGAAAAAAAATGTTCGGGGAAATAAGAGCTTCTCAACCACGGGAACCCACGGACGACGAACGCGACAACGACGCCATCGCCAATTCCCCCTTTCCCGCCCCCTCCGTCCCGACCACCATCCTTTCTTCTTCTCCGTTCTTCTCACCGCTCTATCCTCTCGCTGCAGAGACGATCCTCTTCCCATACATGCCGACGCCATGATCCGCCCACGTCTAAGGGTACCCCGTGTGGGTGTCGTGACCACCAGCAGCAGCAGCAGCAACATATCCTTCTTGGGCTCCAGGAGGGCTCTTCACAACGTGCCCAGGCTGCGACACGACTTTTCTGAGAATGGTGTTCCCAACCTGATGTCTCCCGGCGGATTCTCGATCGCCTGGTCAGACTACATGACTCTTGCGACGGAGAAGTTGAATGCCTTGACAGCCGGTATGATGTTTTCCCCCCTTTTACCGCAATGTACACTTTTTTTTTTGGCAATATGTCACCATATCGTATCATACTGTACCCATATCCATGCCCACGTCCCAAGAGGGGGAGAGAAAAGGCTGACGAGAGCAAAAAAAAATTAATTAAAAAAAACCCCCCACCAGGAACTGAACTCGAAAACAAGGATACAAAGACGATAACGCTGATGACGGCGCGCGAGCCCAACCAAGCCCCCGTCTTCAACTGGGCCTCTATGGCGCACAACAACCACTTCTTCTTCGACGGCCTGACGCCCGCGCCCACGCCCATCCCGGACGTCCTCCGCCGTGAGCTGGAAGCCTCCTTCTCCTCCATGGAGACTCTGAAGCGGGAGTTCATCGTGACCGCGTCCGCCATGTTCGGCCCGGGCTTCGTGTGGCTCGTCCGCGCCGGGCCGGGCGACTACCGCCTCCTGCCCACCTATCTGGCCGGCTCGCCCTATCCTGGCGCCCACTGGCGCACCCAGTCTACCGACATGAACACCGTCGGCGCCGGCGGCTCCGCCCGCGCCCACTTCCGCAACCAGCTCTTCGGCGCCAAGCAGCGCACCGGCGAGCTCCCCCCGGGCGGCATCGACCTCGAACCCCTACTGTGCCTCAACACCTGGGAGCACGCCTGGCTCCTCGACTGGGGCGTCGGAGCCGGAGGCGTCGGCGGGAAGCTCGCCTATGCTGAGTCCTGGTGGGAGGTCATCGACTGGGAGGCTGTTGCCCAGAAGGCCGGTGTGCTCCGTCCAGCTTTCAAGGATGCTGCTGCCTCTGCTTCTGCTGCTTAGTAATTACCCTGGATGACCTTGTTCCTTTGGCTACTGAGGCCATTGGTATCTTTTTCTGTACAATGATATGAGAAAAAAAAGTAGGGGAAAGTGGGGGGGGGGGGAGAGGTGGGACAGAGAGGATAATTTTGTCCGCCTTTGTAACAATAGTGTCTACGGTCTGGTCTGCATATACAGGCGCAAAACAACAAAACATACGAATCAATTTTTAATCTATTTATTTTTTGGTCCGTAAATCAGCTACGGTCCTCTCATATTCCCTATATCTTGATCTTGATTGATATATCATGATTTCCTGATTTGATTATGTGTCAAGCTCGTTCACTTACATGTCAGATCGCACGCCAGCGTAAACATGTTGGACGTGGTCGCTGTCTGGCTCGTCCTCCTCCCCTCACACACCTTCAATTACCGATTCATGCCGCCAAAAGAGACATGTCTTGATGGCTCAGTTGGTTAGAGCGTTGGTCTCATAAACTTCTGTTGTGATTCAATCCTTAGATTGGGCTATCCAAAGGTCGTGAGTTCGAACCTCACTCAGGACATACTTTTTTGCTTCTTTTTCTGATACTCTTCACCCCAATCTTTTTCTCCCCCTCTCAATATTGATCTTCCCCCCTCACCCCTCTTCTCTTTTTATATAATTATAAGTCTTTCTGATAATCGGCAGTTTTATCCGTTCCCAACGTCTAATAATAATACTGATAAATGCGCAGACTGAAAACTTTGGATGACCTAGAACAACATCTGATAGTACACAACACAACATGCACGACGATACATCAGAGCAAATAGAAAAGTGGGATATGACAGTATTTAGATTTTTATTCAACGATTCCCTTTGGTACAATTTGACCAGCAGTGATGCAGTATACTATATAATAATAATAAAAATACCCAAGACGTGTGGGGGAGGTCGACCAGCCGGCTCACCCCGAGACGCAAACAAAAGAGTATCCTAATCAAAGATTTAAACCCGAATGAAGATAGAAGGGAAGAAAACATATAAAATCCCAACTGGTATAAGTGTGCTATTATGGGGTAAGAGTATCCCAAAATCCAAAACAGTCATTCCATCATGCCATTGCTCGAAAGGAGAGTTGCGGAGAAAGAAAATACAATCAAGGAGTGAGGTGTGGGTATATGATCCTGCAACAAAGGAGAGTCTTCAGGAGAATAGAGCAGAAGAAGAAGAAAAAGGAGGGATAGAAGGCGTGTGGAGGAGTGAGGTCGAACGGATAGAAGGAAGTCTAAATCATATTCCCGTTGACGCTGACCTCGAATCCCTCACCCTTTTGCTTGAGAGCCTTGGCGAGCATGAGCTCGCGCATCCAGTCGATGCGGTCATCACGGCTCTTGACGGCAAAGTGATGAGTCTTGCCCGTGCCGTTGACACCCTCCACCTGGATAGAGGACGACGACTGCGTGGCAGGGCTGGCGCTCTCACGCTTGCGTAGGCGGGACGTGGTGGTGTTGCCACCTTGGCCGTTGGATCCCTTCTCCTGCGGAATGAGCTGGAACTGAAAGGCACCGACAGGGTCGCTTCTGTCACGGAGGTGTGTGGAAGATGAGTTGCGCATAGCCTTGAAAGCGGCAGAGAGCTTGGATGATGAGGCCAAGCTGGAGCAGGCAATGGCGTAATCATCAATGTCGACGTACTCGAGGGTGCGGTCGACGCGGTTCTTGTCTTTGTGCATGTTGAGCCTCGTACCCTTGAGGGTAAAGTAGCCATCCTCCCACTCGTGGCGGAGAAGCTTGGCCTTGCGTCGCTTCATGGGGCCCTGATGCGTGACACCGTTGATGTTGACCGTCGTCGACGAGCCTGACGAGCCGTCATTCATGGAGGGCAGAGGCGGGATGGCCATCTCAAAGTTGGTGCGCTCAACGGGTGACCAGGGGTAGACGCCGCGCGGAGGCGCGCGCTGAGGCTGACTCAGGAGCTGCGGTGACGTCCTGCGCGCATCTTCTGGCGACGTCGTCTGCGGCCTGGCGTGCTCCTCCACAGAGGGCATGCCGGGGGTGCGGGCCAGGCGCGAGGGAGCACGGGGTGCGGGCGTCGTGCTCAGGGGAATGCTCCTGGACGCCGCGATGTCGGCGTGGTAGTAGTAGTTCATGCTGGGCGGCACCGACTGGGATGCGTCGCGCGCGACAGGACCGATAGGCACGGCCGTCACGGGAACGTCCACCTCGGAGAAGGGGGTCCCATAGCGGTCAGGGCTAGCCTGCGGTTTCTTGGCAGACGGGGGAGTGTCCAGTTCGGGGGAGCGCGCGTCCGCCCTAGCCATCTGCTGGTAGCTGGCACGACGGTGCTGCTGCTGCTGCTGCTGCTGCTGCTGCTGGCGTATCGGCATGGTCGAGGCCCTGGGAAGGGCCGAGTTGGTAACCGCCTGCGACGTGTTCGTTCCCGGGATGGCCAGCCTGGGAAGACGGCGCAGGCCCTGGTGAGGCTGCTGCGAATAAGGGGCATCGGGCTGCTCAAAGGGAGGCGTAGGGGGGAACTCGTTGGCGCCGTGGTCCTGGAACTGAAGGAAGCGGATGACGTTGTCCTGGGGGTCCCTGTTCTGGACGGAGCGGAGGTTGTTCTCCTTGAGGTACTGCATAGGACCGGGCATGTTTCCGGGGCCCATGATGTCCGAAGAGGCGACGACCGAAGGTTCGGCGTCGGACATGGGCCGGAAGGGCTCGTCGGGGTTGATGGCCCTGGCCGTCTCGGGGTTACCCGCGTCGCCGGCGATGAGGACGGTGCCCCCGTTGTTGTTGGTGATGTCGAGGCCGGGGTTCATCTGCTTGAACTGCTCGATCAGGCGGACCTGCTTCCTCCACTTGGAGCACTTGATGCCCTTGGAGCATATGTGGGGCTTGGGGATGACCTGTTCGATACCAATGATGGACACCGACTCGCCCGGGGTGATGGCGTTGGCCTCGTGGGAGCCGTGGGAGGTAGAGCTGGCCGAAGACTTCTTGCGCGTCCGCCTGTGGGCGCTGGAGGACCGCGAAGGGCCGCGGTTGTGGCGTCGTTCCTCCGATCGCGCCTCGCGGCTGGGAGCCTCCTCGATCGGCGTGGGTGCCCGGGGAGAGGCGGCATGGCTGTCGCGCAGGACCTGGATCTGGTTCCACACCCTTATGCGAATGCCAAAGGACGAGATGCCGAGCTCGCGGAGGTCCTCGAACTTGAGCGTCGAGAGGATGGGGCCGTTGATGTCGTTCTCGATGAAGCGAGCGGCGACGGAGGGCTCGAGGCCTGCTTCGAGCATGGACTGAGCCACCATCTCAGGCGTCCACATGACCAGCTGCGCGACATCGAGCTCGGCAGAGCTGAATTGAAAGGGGGTGTTACATTGAGAGGGCAGGTCCGGTACGGGAGGCTGCAGTTCGGACTGGTACCACAGGTCGGGGAGATCCCGAGGAGTCTTGGGTGTGATGGGAGAGAGAGTCAGGGTGATGTCGCCGTCAGCCGAGACCTGCTCAGCCGAGTTGCGGAACAGGTGAGGGCCCCGAGGGCCCTCGACCTGGCGTTTTGCCGTCGACGTGTACTGCGTCTGATTGACATCTTGGCTTGACCTGGGGGTGATGGCCTCCTCAAACGAAGATAGAGTTGTGATACTAGGCTGTCCCGACTATTGTACGAGAGTTAGCCACAAGAAACCCGATGGTGTACCGACGGAGTGGGTATGTGTGTGTTGGCTGACGGCTGACGCCGGTAAGACCACACGCCACACGGCGGTCCCGCTGGTAGCCCAAATCTTATAATCAAACAGAGAAACAATGAGGATAGTGTGCACGTACCGACTGCAGACTAACCCGGGGCGAGTTATCCTCTGGCTCACTGAAAGTTTCCTCATCCCAATCTGTGTCGACGAACTCGGTGGCTACCGAGACTGGACGCAGGTCTTGGGCTTCATTCCTGAGGCTGAAGAAGGTGTCGCGAGGAGCGGGCTTCTGCCTCATCTCCTGGTAGGTCCAGCGCTGGCCGGACTGATAGTGTCGTGTCTCCTGATAGCTGCTGTCAGCCGGCGAACTGAGGAGTAGAGACATTGCTGTTGCTTTGCAGAGAGAACTCACCATTCCCACTAACCAGCAGGGTGGGACTTTTACGTGGTCAGATGCTTCTGATGCTTGGGGTATGCCGCATATATAAGTGCGTGCTGGTGTATCAAGGTCTCTCCCTCTCTCTTGCCAGAGTGTTTCCAGGTATCGTCTCTGAAACGAAGGAGAAAATGAAATAAAAATGAAGAAAAATGAAATAAAAAACACGACGATGACTATGACGATGAAGATGGTTTCTTTTCCGATGCTGCGAAGCCGTAGTAGATTTGATTGTCTAGAGGAGGAGATGGTAATGAGAAGAGAAAAAGAAGAAGATCAGTAGAGAGGGAGACACCAAAGTTGGAGGAGTAGGATGAAAAAAGAGCCGTCCGGCGGCTAGCAGACGTTTTGTATAGGTGGGTGTTTCGAAACAGGCTGTGCTGCGGGTGTGAGGGAGGTGTGTGTTCTCGTACTCCTACACCTCTAGCCAAGACGGGAGGAGGGGAGAGACCGAGCCGGGGTGTAGGAGCGGACGAGGTGATCGGGGAGGGGACCAAGCTACTGCTGTCGACCTCGACGAGTGCTTTTCCCTCTTCCCATGCATATGCATGTTGCATACAGCATACAGGTGGATAAGATGGAGGGGGGGGGGGTCTTGGCCAGTGCCGTAGTACCAAGGACAGGGGTCTCATCTCTTTCTTTTTCCCTCCCATATACAGAAGTGCGTACAGCGTACAGGAGCTCTCGTGCGGGGCGGACAGGCAATTCATCGGTACTCGGAGCTAAAACAGTTCTCGTACGAAAGCATCATCCCGTAGCTATAACGTCGGGGTGGTGGTCTTTCATCGCGTTACTCTCTTTTCACGTACCCGCACGTCGTCATCGGCGGGACTGTGCATAGCGACTGGCATTGTGGCAGTGATAGCTCACACGGCCATCTATGAGGACCCTTGGTCGATAGCATTCCAGTCGGCGATAAAGCTCTTACACGGCAATGAGGCCATGCTTTGGAGACAGGGGAGAGAAAGCAGCAGGAAGACTGGGAGTGTGGGTGATGACTGGTTCGAGCCCGAAGAACGTCGATGCAGCAACCATCAGGGTAATGTGATTCGTGGCGTCTTGCTCATGCCCACTGTCTGTCGACCAAATATAGATGCTGCTAATATTTTCTAAGCGCCGGGCATGGTTATTGGAAATTTGTACTTGAGAGTACTTTGTTCTAGTCGTAGAGCAGTATTATGGGGTGGTGGTGGTCATGTACAGGTTACTACCAATACCCAACCAAAAAAAAAAAAGAGAGAGAGAAGAGGTGGAGAAGTTGGTCGAGCCGATGGGTGGTGTGGGGGGGGGGGGGGGGGGGGGGGGGGGGGGGGGGGGGGGGAGGAGGAAGAGGAAGAGGAAGAGGGGTGTGTATGTATGAATGAGTGCATGTCAGGAAAAAGGGCACACACACTGTGAGAGAGAGATCTAGCCAAGATGGGCAGATGGGAAAGTGCGCGCCATGCGCCGTTTAAACATGTTACCCATGACGGAATAGAGGAGGAGGAGGAGCAGATTAAAGACGAAGCCTCCAATTGTCCTTCTCTCTCGGAAAGTTTCTGTACATGATAGGACTAGCATTATAATACTAGTATCAGTACGTACAGACATGTACATGTGCAGGTTATATATAAATATAAAGCCTCTGCTATCCGTAGACCACGGGACTCGTCACCAAATAAAATAAGAGCATCAGGTGACTGAGAGTCCTCCGTCTCCAATCTCTTCAAAGCGAATTCTCTGACGCTCTATTCGCTCGGGCATATCCAATAGCTGTGCGTTGCACCAGGTTGGGCAGTCTATTGGTCCAAATGGAGATGATGCCTTGCGGGGTTTCTTTTCGGCCGTCATGGGAACAAAATCCGTGATGGGACCATGATACTCGGTAATACTCCGCATAGGAGGGAGGGGGTGCCTGTAATGATCCGTTGACGATGCCAATTATTGCCAGTGATACGGAGTACGGGTACATCGTAGATAATATATATATTAGCGTACGAGCATTGCAGGAAATCCCTGCCCATCTATCACGTGTGCGGGAACCTCTGGCGTTGCGGCCGACGACGAGAAGAGGTACGATGGGAATAGTACTCGCACATGCAATATTACTGCCAACATGTAGCAAACACTATCCACGTAATATATCTATATATCTTACAGGTTTTACAGCATCGATAGCAGCGTATTGGCCTTGACGGCATACGGTATACAAAATATGCTGAATGTCTAAACATGACTACTCGTTGCATACCGCTCGTACATCGCAGCAGCAGAATATTGATATTGAATGAAAGATGAAAGCAAGCCCCTAAAGCAGCAAAAGAAGAAGAAAAAGAACTCAACCCCCCCCCTCCCCCCCAAAAAAAAGAAGCACAGAACGAATGCTTTGCAGAAGCTCCCGTGCACCAAGATCGATAATAACACTTGCTAGTACGAGCAGGCTAGCGGATAGTAGCATTCGTCTTTGTCTTAGACTCTTAAGTGCTGCTGCTCCCATTGTCCTCACCGACATAGAGTGCACGCATATGTCACCACCCGCCGCCCAAAGGATTAGTGATACGGATTTACAATTGACATGTACACTCCGTAACGTGAACTCGATACACTAGTAGACGACGATAGCTGCTTCGTGTGAAGAGAGAAGCGAGGCAATTTCTGCATGGCCTAATCGTCATAATATCGTCTCGCGTGGTTGAATAACTTGGGCAGCGAGGATGTGTGTCACTGGCTTTCCCCATCAGAGACCAGGGGTCGAGGATGAAGAGAGAGAGAGAGAGAACTGGACTAGTAGACTTACAGGTTGCAACTTGCAGGCATTACAGATTACTATAGAGGAAATCAATCAATCACATAATTCCGTGTCCAAGATGACCGGGGTCGAACAAGCTAATTGCCTTTTGAACTTTGAGGATCATCGGCCGACCTTGCTCCACGCATGCAACCAATGATTCTTGGCTGGGGATTTCGCTAATATACCCCCCTCCCCCCCCCCAGTCACAGTGCGGTGAAATCGTGCCCCATCTTGACGCATAACTCCGTTCTCTCTCTCTCACTCTCTCTCTCTCTTTACCTTCTCCACCCGCTTTCTCGCTGTTAACGTTGACTCAGAGGAGCGGAGGGGGGAGAGAAGAAGAAAAAAAAAACCCACATACCCTCAATTCGGATCGGCTTCTGCTCTCCTCTCAACCGTTTGCCTTCTCAACGGCCCTATGGAATACGGGAAAGTATTACGACTGACGAGTTACGGCTGGTACATTTTCATGTCTCGGGTACGAGCAGCGGTGTGCAATACACTCTCCCGTTCTCTCTCCCTCTCTCTCCTGCAATGGAAAACTCTCGAATGGGAGTCGAGACCCGTTCCCGACCATCTACCTTTTCTTTCTTTGTTTCTTTTTTTTTTTTTAAAAAAAAAGAAAGGAAAAAGAAGAGAGATACGGGAGGGAGGTAATATTCCCGTACGTCGTGTAAGCCGTTACCACGAGTTCTATAGCGTGCCCGTAGTAATACTGGTTCCCCATATTTCCCAACATTTGACTCCTCATGACGTATTCACACGAGGTTCGCATAATAATTGATAACACACTGCACACATGGGCATCTGCACATCTCTCGACAGGTCGTATACTTGTCGTTTGTGGGAATCTAGAGGAGGAAGAAAGAAAGGGAAGGAGAAGAGAAGTCATCCGGAGTGAAGAAGACTTGCTCCACGCACTAGATCTGAAGCCAAAGGAGGGTCGCATAGACAGATGGCTTACGCTGTTGATGACTCGACATAGCATGATGACTTGGGGGAGTCAGCGAGTATTGTAGCGAGAATCGAGCACGCTTGTCTGCTATGTCGAGCAAGTACATGTATGTTCATGCGTGATTGAGCGAGTGTGTGGCAGAAGGCAGTTAATCTATTTCTGCATCGTAAAAAAATCTGGAGAAAAGCCCCCCCTCCCCCTCGTCGTGATGATACTGTGCATCCATCATAAACTTTCGGCACTCTTGAAGACCACCCGTACAGAACCTTGCTTTGTGATGAGAACCAAGTTTTGGGAATGTCACTTCTTCCAGACATTCCGTCCAAGTACAGTCAAGACCGGGGGGGGGGGTTGGAGATTGTATACGTGTGATGATGGATTGATTGAAGTCTGCCCGAGCACACCATCACCACCGCATGGCCAAGCTGAACAAAATGAGACCGTCACATCGTAGACCATGGATTAACCTGTATTGATAAACGAGAACAAGAGCGTGGATGTGTCTGATCCGGGGGTTCCAGCGGGTTGGACAGACTACATCTCGGGAACTCGTGGCATCTCTTCTTTTCTCTGCTGCGTGGGAAACCCAAGACATCGGCTATCTCTTTTCCCCACGCCGCACGCTTGCAGCAGGGAAGAAAAAAAAAGTGCGAGGGTGAGACAGTGGTTACCATTTCGGAAGAGATTGGAGAGAGGAGAGGGGAGAGGAGTTGCATCCTTCCATGCTACTACCACATCAAGGCCGTCACGCTTTCTTCATGTTTTATTCAGAAACAGACGAAATAAGAGAAGAGGGGGGGGGAAGTGACCAGTCAGAATTTCTGTACGAGTGTAAACACCGAACGGGGGGGCGGGGGGACCAAAGGGAAGATGGGTTTTTGTCTTTCCAATAGGTAATATCATATCACGACCCTGGTCTTAATATCTGTAATCTGTCCTCGGCAGAAAACAATCGCAGACCGGTCTTAAAGGCTTGCTGTGCCGTTCTCAAGACTCAATTTTTTTTTTTTTTGGTTGATCTCAATCGCCATTCAATCCCCCCCCTGCTCCAGGCCAGCACAGCCACTTGGAATAGGAGCCGTCCGGGCCGGTGCAAGATTCTGGCAGTGCTACTGCTACTAGTGCCTAGATTGCACTGCTGCAAGTCTGCAGCTGCTAATTCCAGCCCTCGAGTTCCTGTTTTGTTTCCTCCTACGGAGCGATATTTTAATTTAAGAGAAGAAG